AAGACTTGGAGGGCTGGGGATTTAACTCTGTGGTTCCGCCATCTGCCTTGCAAGTGCAAGGTCCCAAGTTTGATCCCCGGTACTCCCCTCAAAAAACCCCCAAAACCCAAAAACAAGACAAGGAGATCAATCAAAGATGTCTTAATATACCCCATCATCATGAGAAAGACACTCAAACCAAATATGCTGTGGTGAGCAGGTCAGCAGGAACAGTCCTACACACCACGGTACCATATTCCACAAGCCATCCTGCACGTCTGTGTCAGTCCTAACTATAATATCACTCTGCGTTAACATTTACTGAGCTTGGACACACAGACGTAAGCCACACATTATGAACTCTTAAATTAGATCTTGAAAACTCCTCACGCTCAAATCAGTAGCAAGTGTAATTCTTCCTTATTTTAAGAAAGGAGAAACTGTGGTTAAAAACATCAAACAAGCAAGTACAATCACACTGGGGCAAACTCAAACCTACTAAAGAAAAGTGAAGTACTAACCCTACAGTACTCTTTTTTTGTTGTTTTTTTGGTACAGGGATGGAACTCGAGTCCTTGTGCTTATGAGGCAGATGGCGGAACCACTGAGCTAAATCCCCGGCCCCCTACAGTACTCTTTTTTTCCCCCCCTACAGTACTCTTCACGGGGTTGTTGATTAGCTAAGCACATGATGAAAACAAACACACCTTGCTGCTGAGTAAATATAAGTGAAAAGATAAGCCTTTTTCTCAGTTTATTTATATGGTTTTTTTGGCGGGTTTATTGCCCTCTCCCCTCATAGACACATTATTTTTAAGAAACACTGAGGAGCCAGGCATTGGGTGTAATTTGCATGCCTGTAATCCCAGCACTTGGGAGTCTGAGGCAGGAGGACAGCTGTGAGTTCAAGGCCAGCCTGAAATACATCATAGGGAGACCTTGTCTTAAAAAACAAAAACAAAAGAAATACTGATGAAAACATAGAGAGTCAATATCCAGCAACCTAAATGAAGATTTACCTTCACATGATAACAGTCCCTGTTATTTATTCTACTCCTATTCAGAAGAGTGTACAAGTTTGTTTCAGCAATGAGATAGTTATAAAGACAAAAATCTTTTCAAGTCAGTGAAAAATTTTTTAAAAGTTAAGTGTTTAATTGCATTCTGCCTAAAATTCACCAGAAGTGTTTGGTTTTACACATAACATGATGGCCTGTGTGAACAGGTGATCCCAAGAGAAATGAAAGCAAAATAAGACAATTGATAGTGAAAAGAAAAATGTAAAGGAAACATTTGATTCTGCCCCAATTTTATATCCAACTGATATATATATATATATATATCTCAACCAGATATTTATATAGGTAGTTATATAAAATTCACTATGACTAAGAATTGTATACAATGTGATGTCAACTGAATTGCTGCTACTAAAATTTCTTTTTTTTTTAAATAATAAGCATCCCTTTATTTGCTGACTGCCATTACAAAAACTGATTACATTAGCAACAAAAGTGTCTTGAGTTGATGTCAGAGGCAGTTACTCCCCCAAAGTGTTAAGTAAAATAGTGTACAACATCAGTATTAAAATGTTAAATTTTACATTGTCTTTACCACTTTGATCTTTTGAACAATTGAACTGAACAAGGCAAAATATTACACATTTATCTTCAGGAATGTAAAGGTCTAATTATTCAAACAGTTTTTATTATAAAACTAAACTCTGAAGGTGTCTACACAGTTGGGTTCTTTTTAAATTTTTCTCTTTAAATCAGTAGTCTAACAAGGATTAGAAAAGACAAAACTCTGTTCAGTGTTTCTGACAAAGTAGAATGAGTGAAAACATAAATAAGGCTTTAATTTGGCAAAATATAATACAATGCCTTCTGTTGTCCTCAATTGAAGTTTCCCAATTACTTCACTCCAAACCTGGTAGTGTTATTTCTCCTTTGTGAGCTGTTTTTTTACACCCTGAACCAACTGCTGTAACTGTGGTATAGTCTGACTTAGACTTACAGACATCATCTCCTTTTCAGAAGACTCCATTTCTGGGGAAACATCACTATTTCTCAATAACAGTAGTATCTCCAGCAGCTTGTACTATTTTTGACTGGATAAGATCCAGTGACTGTTGCGCCTTATCCAAATCACCAGCTACTGTCTATCTTTCACTTTGTTCAGTTTTAAGTTTTGTAAGTGTTTCATTTAACTGTGTCTTCAACAAATTTAGCTCTTCATTCTGTCTTGGTGCTACTAAAATTTCTACCGAAATGATTTTCACTATAAATTTGGGTTAGGGCTGGGGATTTAGTTCAGTGGTTCTGCTGCCTGCCTTGCAAGCGCAAGGTTCCAAGTTTGATCCCCGGTACCAAAAAAAAAACCCAAAAACAAAATTTGGGTTAGATATAACTCCCAAATTGTTTTTTAAATGAAAATCAACAAAAGCCAGGTGTGGTGGCACATGCTTATAAATCCCAGCCTTCGGGTGGTTCAGGTAGGAGGATTGCTGTGAGTTTGAGACCTATGTTTAAGACTGTGTAGCCTATGCTACACTGTAAGTTCAAGGCCAGCCTGAACTACATAATGAGATCTTGTCTCAAAAAAAAAGGAAAGAAAGAAAATCAACAAGAACTCATCCCTTTGGCTAGGTAAAAATTTCTTGGGCTGTGGTTAAAAAGAAAAAGTTAAAATAGATTTAAGGTTGTGAGGTCTCTTGAAAGAAGTCTTTTTTTTTTTTTTTGGTACCGGGGATTGAACTCTGGACCTTGTGCTTGCAAGGCAGGCGGTGGCACCAATGAGCTAAATCCCTGGCCCCTCTTGAAAGAAGTCTTATGAATATAACTTTAACATAAAGCGGTTCAAGGAACCCCTCAGATACCAAAATCCCTGGACGTTTAAGTTGATTATATAAAATGGTAGAGTATCTGCATATCACCTACACATCCTCCCACATATTTCAAAATGTTTCTAGATGACTTATAGTACCTAATCCAATGTAAATGTACATAAATAGTTATACTGTATTGCCCAGGAAATAATGACAAGGAAAAAAGTCTGTAAAGCACATGTTCGGTACAGATGCAATTTTTTTTTTTGGTACCGGGGATCGAACTTGGGACCTTGCACTTGCAAGACAGGCACTGGAACCACTGAGCTACATCCCTGGTCCACAGACACAATTTTTAAAAAATATTTTTGAGGGCCCAGGATGTAGCTCAGTGGCACTGCGGCCTACCTGGCAAGCAAGAGGCCCTGAGTTTGATTGCTGGTACCAAAAAAAATTTTTTTTTATCACTCACCAATACAAAAGGCTGGAAGTCATTCATGTGGTTTCTTACAATAACAGGTAACAAGATTAACTTAACTGTTAATAATGTGAAATTTTAGAGCTCCTAAAAATGTGTGAAAAGTAGGAAGGATGATTTCAAAATTTCTAAATTGTGACTGAACTTGGGAACGGAAATAAAACCACCACAAAAGTCATAAAACTGAGGATGCTGCTCCCCTCTCTCCTCCACAGCAGGGCTGGTCTTTCTTCCTAGACAGCTTCCTCCCAGAGCTCCTGGCGGCTTCCTGCTCTGGCCTCTCCTCTGCCCTCCACTTGTCACCTGCCCCTACTATGTGCAGTTCTGGCTGCCACCCCCTTGCTCAGAAGGACGCTGTCAAAGAGTGGAGCTCTTGACTGGGGCACCTTTCACCTGCGCCCTGGCCACACAGAACCATGCGCTCTTCCCTGGTGTGGCCCACATTCCCTACTGAGCTCTTTTACACATTCTGTGCTCTCTGGCCAAAATTCCCTTTCTTCTGGTCAGCAGAAATCCTTCTCCAACACCATGCAACACTATGTCCTCATGAGATCGTCTACCCCACCTGGCTTCAAGCTGTCTCCTTTGATACCACAATGTACTTTCAAGTGCTTCTAAAGGCTGTAATATTCCATCTTGTGTCACAACTGAAAGTCAACCCCAATGTGGCAGAAGCTGACCAGTTCATGCTGTACCCCCTGAAGCAGTGTTACACACTGCAGGCACTCAAGTATGCACTGAGTCAAACCACCCAGCTCTGCTCCAAGGAAGTCATTGGAAGGAAAGACTTTGAGCACATAAATAGAAAATGAAAGGGCCAGTGATGTATTTTGATAGAAAGTTTCAGAACATGAAAAATGTGTAAGTGGCAGAAATATTTTACTTCTGTGGGATTAGAATCTATAGGTTTTGTGAGGTTATGACAGAAAACAGTCACAGGCAGACACATGCAGACACATGCAGACACACACACACACAAGGTCTCTCTCCAGGTACAGTCAGGTACAGTGGTATACCTCAGTTCACAAACTTAATTCTTTCCACAATTCTGGTCACAAACCAAAGTGGACAAGAACCAAATCAAATTCAACAGTTATGTTCAGTGTTGACCTTATGGAAAAATTTGATTTAATTCTTGTCCAATTCGGTTTTCAACCAGAGTCATGGAAAGAATTAAGTTTATGAACTGAGGTCCCACTGTAAATAATAAATGACCCAAGGGGAACAACCTTTAAAAACAATGAACTCAATCACTTTCCCCAGTCAAGTTGTAGAAATATAAGAAATGATAGCTAACAATGCTGTTGCAATGAAATCATAAACAGCCCCAACAGGCTCTACAGAATTATCCCCAGGAAAGTGCTGGCTCCTTCTCTGTGACTCCCAAGAAACAAGGAGCCAGACTAAAGGTCATGAGCTTTTCCTCCATTATGGTACCCAAAAATAAGTGAATGAATAAATGAGTAGATTTAATGAGGCTTAATTCTGAATTCATTAAAAGCCAGTGCTTCTCAAAATATTTGTGGAAATGTTTTAAATATTTTCTACCTGCTGCACAGATACTCTTAAAATACAATAAAAAGGTGTACCAGTTGATGTGCACTTCCTGTGTTTTATTTGTCATCAACCCGTAAAGCCCTGCCCCCCCCCCCCCCCCCCCCCCCGCCAAGGAACATGGATCCTACAAGGCTGGAAATAGACAGGTCGAGGGCCTACCTTCTGCTCCTGGACTTCAAATACTGCTTCGTGGACACTACAGGCAAACAGAGAGGTAGGTAGATCACTTAAATCCATCATCTCTTCCAAATCATCTTCATTTTCACCAAAAACCATCTCTTCTTCCTCTTCTTGGTCACTGCTACAGAGATCTGACTGGCTGTCATTCCAAGATTTCATACTGTCCCTCAGCATTGTCCCCTAAAAGCAGGTTTTTTCCGTTTTGAAAATTCTAGGATATTTACCAGGCACCTACTGTTAAACAAAAACAACACAGAGATAAAACTTTGAAGACCACATGATGTTCCAATCAATCAGTTTCTCCAGACAGCAATTCATCAAGTGAAGTGATTTTAGCCAGGAAAGATCAATCAGCATTTAAATCAAGTCATTTCAGTCCTCATAAATGAATTCCATAGAGGGAAATTTGATTTGCTTAGCATATTTTGCAAGGTAATGATATATTAAGAAGAAAACAAGAGTTTCCTAGTGAAACTGGGAAAGAAAAGATACTAAATGACATCATGTCAATATGTACACTAGTTTACAAGCAGTGGGAAGGAAAATGTGAACCAGAACTGCTTTCACATATTTGTTTTGGGTTTTAGGTCTAAAACACTGGAACTAGCAAAGCAGAATCAAACCCACACGGATCCGCTCACCATCTGCACCCTGAAATATGGTTTGCAATGCACTGACTTTGCCTTTCTCATCCAAGTTTTTTTTTTCTTTTTGAATATCATCTTCAAATAATTGAATTACTCAGAACCAAAAGTTCTCTATAGAGTCGGTTTTTGTGAGAATATATAAGAAATATTTACAGCTGGCAAAATTAAACATAGCAGACAATCCAAAAGATACCTTTTCCAAAATTTTAAACATCACTAATTTTAAGCCAGTGGCCTGGAGCTGACAGTGGCCCTCTGTTAAACACCAGAGCAGAATTTGTGCTTTGGGACTTTTTATATGACTGTCTGGCTCCTTCAGGGAACTGCACACCACGCCCACCAAGTAGAGTCCCATGGACACGACACATTCTGAGATGTCAATATGGATATTAAGAAAAACTTATGAGGCACAGAAACATTAAGTGATCATGATTATTGCTCTTCCGATACGATTTAATTTGTGATTTTCCATTTTATTTTAAAGAATACAAGGTCACAAATATATTGCTTATATACAGCACATAACAGAATGGTGATTATAGAATAAAAATAGGGTTTTTTCATTATTTGAATCAATCAATCAAATTCTAAAACGTAAAATCTTTACTTGTTTTTATACACATTCTCTGAGCACTTACGGCTTTAATTGAGGAATATTCGATGTATAAGACACAGTTCCTACCCTCACGGAGCTCCCACTGAGCAAGAATTTCTCCAGTAACACTGGCCACACCATGCTCCTAAAGGACTTTGTCCCACTAATTATTTGCCACACTCTCCATTTCTCATTCTGCAGCTGTTCCTTTTCCTTGGTGAATGTGTGCGTTCATGGTCCCCACCACTGGGATTCTACCTGTCTCTCCTTGACCTTTCCTGCCAACTTCTTGGAAAGAGTAATGTGTATCTGTTGTGTTTATTTCCTCAACTTCAGACACTCCTGAATTCAGTCCAGCTGGATTTCTGCCATTATCCTTTAGCTCCACTTGTCCTTATTCTGGACAGCAATGATCACCTAATAGCTGGAACCTAATTTCAGACCTTGGCCTACCTCTGCAGCATGTGACCTGGCCACCCACCCTGTTCCTTCCCAGACTTCTCTGTGCCCTGCCTCTCTGGTTCATCCTCCTCCCCAAATGTCTTTCTGGCCGGCTCTCCTTTCTAGATCCTGCTTCATAAGTCAGTCTCCCTAAGGTTTCAGGCTCTCTTTTTCTTGTCTTACTCTTCCTGGGTGGTTTGATTCACACTGGAGCCTTAAGCTTGATTCACACAGAGCCTGAACCACCTGTGGGTCTGCAATTGATTTCCTGCTTCCTTGTGGTCTGCACCCAGCTATGTCAATACTGTCTCCCATTTCACATGGTTCTTGAGCCAGGAAGGATGGCACTGACTGTCGGGGAAGAAGAGTGGAGTCTGAGTCTCAGGCAATGGAAAGGATGGGTGGTTGAGAAAAAGCACCAAGTCCCCAAGAGACTTGTTGCCCCTTGGCCCTTCTTGCCCACACACACTGAAAACCACTCATCTACAGGCCCATTGTTGAATGTATACATCCAGACTCAGACCCTCTCCTGAGTTCTAGACTTGTACTTTAGCATTTTATGGAACCTAGATTTACCTGGGTACTCCACAGGTCCTACAATTGCTTTTAACTTATTCTTTCAAGTAAATCATTATGCCAGAAATCTCCAATCTGAAAGGGGCCCTGGGAGGGTGGAGGCAGCAGGGAACAGATCTCACTGTGGCTTTCATTACAAACTCTTCTTTAACACTAAGCTGCCAGGTAGAGTTTGGGGCTCTCATAGCACTTTGGTCATTTCTCTGCCCGATATTTGTATTATGGTTGTTTGTTTATAACTCATTCCTAACTACCAGACTGTGAGTTCCTTTGAATCCTCTTCCTTGAATCCCTGGCATAGTTTCCAGCTCACAGTTGTTTAATTATGACTACTGACAAAAAGCAGACAGCACTGTGATTACCCCACTGACAGGTCAGCATGGACAAAGAGAAATTCAGTTCTGCCTGGGATGAGACAGCTTCCCAAAGGAGGTCACAGTGGGACTTCAAGGGTGAGCAGAGCTGTGGCAGGAAAAGAGTGGAATGGATTCCAGGGAGAGTCACCAGTGCATGAGCCACATCTTGAAGACAAACAGACGAACATGCACAAAGGCCAGGAGCTTCGGTGTGGCCACAGGGCACTGTCTGGAGGGGGTGTCAGGAGCCAAAGTCAGGAGGGCAGGTGTGGGCCAGGCTGGCTCGCAAGTGGGGCTGCAGTTTTGATACAAAAAAATCAGCCAATATCAGCATGCCACTGAAGGCTTTTGGGCAGGGAAATGATATAACCAACCAATTTAACTTTTGGTATCCTTGAACGTGGGCTGTCTTAATATCATATCTCTTAGAGGCACTGATGTTATTATCTGCTCCCTCCCAGCCCATGAAAAAGAGGTAGGGTAAATAATGCCCAGTTTTTCTGGAGGGTACAAGATTTTAAAATCTGAGAAAGTCAGCCTACTTTTGATGAGTTTTTTGAGGTTTATTTTTAGCGTCGGAGATTGAACCCAAGGCGGTACACATATTAAGTGTGCTTTACCACTGAGCTACACCCCCAGCTTCTTGATAAGATTTTTTTGTTGTTGTCTCAAGTTCTTTCCCCAAACCCTTAAGAGAAGAAAAAGAGCACAGGAAACAATCCTTCAACTGATTTTTTAAAAACTCTTAGAATATCATACCTTCAGTTCCTGTTTTCTACCTTCAAATTTGGGGTTTTTAAAATATAACTTCAAATAGAAGTTATAAAATAGAACAAGGAACTCCAGAATATCCTTTGCCAAGAGTTACCAATTTTGCCTGTTTGCTTTGTTATTCTATTTTTATACATATGCTCAGAATCACTGAAAATAATATGATTTATATCCTTTTACTCCAAAAGTACTTTCAGTACGTAAGAACAATATTGCTTTCTTACATAACCCATGGCATCAAAAAGAGGAAATTTAGCATTGACATAATACTGTTATCTAATTTACAGTCTACATTCAAATTTTGTCAATTATTCCAATAATGTCCTGTATATAGCTATTTTTCCTTTAAAGTTTTTAGACTACTCTTACTTTATTTGTTTGGCCCAAAATATCTTAATAATCTTTAGATTATGTGTTAGATTATAGCATTCATTTTCTTTACTTACTAGACACTTAAAAACAATGGATCACTAACGTACCATGATGACTGGCAACAAGTCTGAGCAGACCTTAAATATGTCCCAGAGGGAGATTCAGGCTTCATACCAGCCTTTCCAGATTTGAACTCTGGCTCCCTGGTAAATTACTTTGCTGTGCTGTTTCCTCAAATGTAAAATGAAGATAATAATAATCCTTATCCAATAAGGAGATTAGGAGAATTAACTAAAGAAATGCATACTAAGCACTCAGAGTAATTCTTTGCATTTACAATGCTCAATAATCAATTATTTTATCATAGGCACAGTCTATGTTAATGCATTGTCGGGTTAAAAGAATCTCAGCAGTATCAGAACCTGGGAAGTGATATTCAAATCATAAAGTAAAAAAAAAAATCCCAAATGATCTAATTCCAACCATCAAAAGGCAAGAAAAATAAAACACATTATGTCATTTCAAGAAAACTACTTAGTGGCTGACTTAACAATAAAGTGAATCCTCAACAGTCACTACTGGTAGTACTTTAGGTCCAGTATGTAAACATTTATTTTATTTTTTTTTAGAGTTAGCTGGAAAAGGGCATGGTGCCTTTTTCATGGGCCTTATAGAATTTTGTATCATCATGCAACACATATATGGCATCACTGTCACTCAAATGTTGTTTTTTTCACTAAGGACAAGCCATGAGTTTTTGGATATAGCTAAAGTCAACTTTGTCAACCACGTCATAATTTTCTGGCACCATAATTGCAGTTAAATTTGAAGAGAATGAAAAATATGGAAGATCATGTAAGGTAACTCAGCTGTTACTTAGAAGATAAACTCTGTAAAACATTACAGACATCTGTTGCTTCTATGCAGTTATTACTGGAGTTGCTGCTAACTTTGTGCCACAGTATTATGAGACTAAGCTCTCCCCTGTTTACAAACTCCAGGAACCCTTGACTAGCCCAGCAGGAAGAGGTGAACCGTATCCTCCAGCTTCAGTAAGTGAAGGTCTGCGCTAATCAGGGCTTAGCATCACCTCCAGTGCAACTGTAGCTGTGCCTGGCTTCTGGCAAATTGTTTCTTCATGGAAACATCAAATGACTGGAAAAACTCCAAGGAGCATGACCATCTGCTCTGCTCCAACAAGGCTTGTGACAAGAGTAATCCATCAAGGCAAAATGTCAAGCACATGGAGTTGATATTCCATGTTCAGCTCTGATAAGGAAAAGGTAAATTCTTTCTCCTCTAGGATTGTGAAAATACTTATATAATATACTTTCCAACTTGGGGAACATTTTAATACCTTAGTCAGATGAATTTTTAAAATTTTTTGACATGCTCAAAATGTCACAATACTGGAAGCAAATGTGTATTTCATTTGAATTTGTATTTTAGACTAAGTTTTTAAAAGACCACCTAGGATTGACAATGTGGAGGTTCTCAATTGTCTATCATGAAGCTTCTACCTACTGTTTTTTAAATCATTTACCACTTATAAGTAGAATTTTATTATTTTTTCATAGCTGTGGTAAAAAAAATTGGGGGGAGGGTGCAACAGTAAAGCAAAATACATGACAATGATGGGTTAGGGGGTGTAACTGAGTGGTAGAGCACTTGCCAGGCATGGGCAAGGACCTGGGTTCCATTGCTAACAGCATAAAAAAATTTTTTTTTGTATTTTGTATGTGTTCCTGACCTATGTCCTATTTTCACAGATAATCTAGAATTGGTCCTGCTATAATTATTGAGGTTCCTGCTCCACTAGGAAGAGTGGTATTTGTTAGCATGATAGAGATAATGAAAATCAACAATAAAAATGAATTGTCAGAACATATGAAAATAACAGACTTTAAAGAGTAACTGAAGCACACCTATAAAGGACTGATACTGTTTGGCTGTATTTCACTTCCCCTCCACAGAACTACATTCCAAGAGCAAAGTGGAGATCCTGTCTGATTTCCACCTTCCATGGTTTTGGGGGATCTATGTAACAAATGGCATTGAACTTAGAGCCTCTACTATTTCACACCCTTCAGCTTCACAGATGTCTAAGTCATATTATTTTTCATGAAGTTTTCCTTTTTCTTTAGACCAACAATTCCACTAACATCATACAAAGCTGGCTCCCATTTGTTACCCTAATGTTCACATGTTTTAAAGCTTTACAAATGTTACATTTCAATGGTAGGGAACAAATCCTGTTTCCCCTAAACTCACAGAAACCTCTTGGCTAGGAAATGGTTTGCTGATTAAGTAAAATGTAAAGCGGATGACATGGCTACAGAGGCTCTTAGTTTTCCAGCTTTTTTCAGTTTTCCTGCATCCCAAGTCCTTTTCAAGAGCACCGATATAAAATCCCCATTCAAACGAAGGAACGTGTGTGATACATAAATACCTAGGCCCTGATTCTTAACATGATGTGTTTTTACAGTTTAATATATTGAACCAAAGCTATAAACAGTCTCAAGATATTTTAAGTCATATGTAATCACAGCTACAGATAAATCTGTTCCTTCTCTTGCCACATCAGAGACGTCTATGAAATGCACAGACTTCTATGAAAAGTTTAAATAAATGTTGGGTATTAGGTAGCTTTCAACAAGGGGAAGCGAATATATTGGCTTTGAGCACTACGCTGCAACATCACTTTGAATAATCTCAGTTTTCATGTAAACATGGATGTGAACCTCTCCCTATGCTAGTACCCTAATCTCTAAAGGACACGACGAGATTTTGCAGGGAAGTTAGAGGGAAGCAACCTACAAAGAGGCCATGTCGATTGCTCACCTGTCCAGGCAGCGGACAGACAAAGGCAGATAGCAAGTTTGTTACAAGAAGTCAGGGAATCGGGAATGTGACGGCCACCCATGCATCCCGGGCGGGGCAGGGAGGGCGAGAGGAGCTTGCACCTTCTGGCCGCCCCTGCTTCACGGACCGCGCCTCGGGCCTGTCAGCTTCCCCCAGACTCGCACTGCGGGAGGGAGAAGCAACACCTGGGGCGGGGCGTTTCCAGGGCGCGGCCCCAAAGGCTCCGGCAAAGACCCTGGGCGCAGGGCGCGGGAGCCGGCGGCAGGGCCGCAGCATTTCGGGTCCCCGGGCACTCGGTGCGGCGGCAGCCACCTCTTCTTTCTCAACTTTCGGGGCCCCGCTCCCCACCCGCTCCCGCCGGCCCGGACCCCGGCGGCCCCACCCTGCAGCCCGACTCACCTGCGCGGGCCGGCCGGGGACGCGGGGACGCGAGGCCGCGGGGCTGCGGAGCCGGGGTCGAACGAGCGCGACCTACGGCGGACAGGAGCGGCCCGGGCCGGGCCAGGTCGCAGCCGCCGCCGCCACGCCCTCGACGCCGGCTGGAGCGGCCGCCTTGGCGGGTTCGCGGGCGGCGCCGGGGCGAGCGAGGCTCTGGGTGCGCGCGTTCCTCCTTCTCCTGTCGGCGGCTGCGGGCGCGCGGCGCAGGCGCCCAGGCCGGCGGGGGCGCGCGCGCGCACGCGCACGAGCCTGGCTCTCTCGGCGCGCGCCGCGCCCGTGACGGTCGTGAGCTGTCACCCGAGGTGGGGGTCTGGCTTTGGGTAGCCCCGAGAGCAGGGTCTTGGGAGAACTTATCGTTTTCCACTGTGACCAGAAATAGGTCATCTCCTCGCCCTGCAGCCCCAAGCAGTCACAGGGACTTGGTGACCCGAGAGCTGCAGCTTATTATCCCGGCTTTACGGAGGAGAGGCTCCCGGGGGGGGGGGTCACTTCCTCCAGCTCTACTCTGCCCTTCGTCTGTCTCACTCGTGCCTCGGGGGATCAACGTGCACGCTCCGCTTCCACAGGACCCTTGTCCTCTGGCTTACGGAGGAATTCATGCAATGGTACACATCGGAGACCCTGCCTTAAAATAAAAAATAAAAGAGGCCTGGGGGGTGTATGTAGCTCAGTGGTACAGTGCCACAGAGAGCTACAAACAACGAGGAAGGGAATCTGTAGTTCGAGGATGCCCTAGCCGTTTTGTTCCTCTGGCCCCTCCTCTTCTAGGAGGCTGCAGGTTGGCTACACAGCTGCCTCTGCATACGGGTCCTGGTCCCGGTCACCCTGCCTTCTTCTGCCCTGGGGGTGGCAGTGGCTCCCCTCTGCTGCCATCCACAGGCTTCTTCGTCACTCCCGCTTGGCTCCCTCAACCCTCCTCACTTTTGTGTCACCCTTACCAAACCCTCTGCACATTAACCCTCTGCTGGAACCCGGACGGCTACGTCCATCAAAGGAAATTCAAGTTCACTACCACAAGAGAGGAAAATGAACAATGAGCAGGAGACAGCGATAAGATTGTGGTATTGGCTTGGGAGAGGTCTGACATAATGCAGACCAGAGATGACTGTGGCCTTGATGAAGCTATGAAGGAAGAAATGGGGACAAATAGTAGGATTCTATTTCAAAGGCACAGTTAAGAAAATTGACTCAGGAGTTATATGTAAATTATGAGCAACAGAGCTGGGCATGGTGGCGCACACCTGTAATCCCAGCACACAGGAGGCTGAGGCAGGAGGACTGCCATGAGTTCGAGGCAAGCCTGGGCTACATAGTGAGTTCAAGGCCAGAATGAACTACTTAGCAAGAGGCTGCCTCATAGGAAAAAAAAAAAAAGCAACAGAGAATTCACAGACCAAAGCAGGTGGAAATCATGTATCTGGAGCCTGAGTGTGACTTGGGAGGGAAGCATGGTGACTGCTTAAGCTCCTGGGTTTAAACGAGGTGACCCGGGCAGGGCAGGAAATAGAACACAGCAAGGCGAAGAGCAGAGTCCAGAACAGCACCAGTCATTACCAGGTGGGCAAAGGAAGCATTGGCATTTCATGTCTATCAACTATATGGGGGGCAACTCCAGAACTGGAGAACAGAAATGGAATCTGCCACATCCTTCTCTCCCATGGCGGCTGGCAAGGTGAAGGGCACACATTGTGTCACACATGCTTGTTATGAATGAACTTGACACAGTTTCGCATTTCTAACCTGCCCTCCCTCTCCCCAGCCCCAAGAGGGTTAAGTTACAGGCAGAGAGAAAGAGTGCGAAAGTGATCCCTTGTGGCCAGTCCATTGAAACCCTGGCCAAGGTTGATAAGTGCTGTGCTGGCCTGGAAAACGCGAGTAGAATGAGTCAAGTGACACCACCCCGCGGCTCTTGCCGAGCAGGATAATTGCCAGACACGATTTCCTTATTCTTTGAGTAGATTTAACAGTCAATACTCTGCAACATCCTTATTAGGTTTGTATATGGCAATCATGCAAGCGACTGAAGATCGCAGGCTCACACTCATGGTGCTGGTGGAGGCCAAAGGAATGAGAGTGTTTTTGGAAACTGTGTTTATCAAGCTCACCTAACCTATGACCCAGAAATTCTACTCCTAGATATATGTGCAAGAGACATGCAGGCAAATAGCCACTGAAAAAAAGCCTTATACGAAAGCCCTCTGACATCTTTATGTATAACATCCCCAAGTATCCATCAGCTGAAGATAGATAAGCTATGCTGTGTTCTCTCCCACCCCTTTCAACACTGGAGATTGAACCCAAGGCCTTCACACCGGGCCACATCCTCAGCCCTTTTAAAAAATCTTTTTTTATTTTGAGACAGGCTCTTACCAAGTCACTAAATTGCCCAGGCTGGGCTTGAACTTGTAAACCTCCTGCCTCAGCCTCCCAGAGTACCAAGGTTACAGGTATGTGCCACCACACCTGGCAAAATAAGGCATATTTCATATTTAAACAACAGCAACAAAGAATGAGCAATGATATGTATATAACAACACAGATACATCTGAAAAATTTTTGTTGAGCAAAAAGAAGCATCTATACACAGAGAGTATAGATGTAGGATTCCTTTTACATGAAGTTCAAGAAGAGGCAAAGCGAGGACCAGGGATTTAGCTCAGTGGTGCCACTGCCTGCCTCGCAAGTGCAAGGCCCTGAGTTTGATCCCCAGTACCAAAATAATAAAAAGAAGAGGAAGAGCGAATCTCTGATGATAACATCAGAACAGCACTGCCTCTGAAGAATGGGCTTTATTGGACAGGGACACAAGGGACCATGGGGATTATGTTATTTCTATGAATACATTAAGCACTTACGGACTGATTCACTGGAAGCTGGTCTTGGCATTGGGACTATAGTGGAACAAAACAGTCCAAGTCTGTGCCATTATACAGATCTATCTTGGTTTTCTTAATGGACTGATAATGAGAATACATTTTAAATTTTAAAAACGCTTCAAAAAAAATACAGCTAATGACAAGTCTGAGGCAGTTTTTTCTTTCTGTTTTTTATTGTTTGTCCTTTTGAGACAGGGTCTCACTTATAGTCCAGGCTGGCCTTGAACTTACTATGGAGCCCAGGATGGCCTCGAATTCACAGTAATCCTCCTGCCTCAGCCTCCTAAAAGCTGGGATTACAGGGATGCACCACCATGATCAGCTTCACTTTTTTCTTATTTCATTGTTTTTAGTTGCTGGAGGAAGGCAGCAAAATATAATGGAAAGGGAACAGGCTTTAAGGTGTCAGCTCTACCACTAACTGTGTGAACTTGGGGCAAGTTTTTAAAACCTCTTAAGTCTTAATTTTCTCATCTGTCATAGGCAATTGATGATACTTACCTTGTAGGGTTTTTTTTTTAAAGTGCCAGACATATTATGGGTGCTCAGTAACATTATTTGGTTTATAATCAGTTTACAAGTAAAATTTTAGTTTTACCCAGTGGGATATGAGCATAAGGAAGCTATCTTAACTGAGAGAGGTAATCATTACCTTTTGCTGTTCCTCTTTTCTCTATTGTGAATTGTGAATATGATGGCTGGAGTTTCAGCAGCCATTTAGACCCAGAGGTAACCTAAAAGTTGGCAACCACATGTTGGATGGTGGATGAAAAAGATGAAGAGTCTAGATCTCTTGTGATACTAGAGCTTCCATACCAGCCTTGGGGTGCCTTTACTCAGGAGAGAAATATTCTTTTATCTTGTTAGGTATCCACTGCACCCAAATACAACCCCAATTTATATACACTGGTGAGTGATCCTGAGTTCTCCTACTTCTTATTTATTTACAGCATTGGTCACAACTGTAATTAAGAGAATAATTGTGAAGTTACTGGCTTAGTGCACAAATCGCCAAGTAGAATATCCAGTGTAAGGACTAGTTTGTTCACTGATAAATCTCCAGATCTTTTTTTTTTTGGTTTGGGGGATTGAATTCAGGACCTTGCGCTTGAGAGGCAGGTGGTGGCACCACTGAGCTAAATCCCTGGCTCCCCAGAGCTTTTCACAATAAGTGGCTCTGGTAGACAGTAAGTGCTCAACAAAAGTGGGAGAGAAGAGGAAGGAAGAAGCAGAGCTGCTCTGGATTATGAGAGGGGTCAGCTCACAAGAGAGCATATAATGAGAAAGGAAGAGAGGAGAAACCACAAGTCTGTCTGCTTTCACTCCACAGGTCCACTTTTCTCTTGCTCCATCTCTCTCTTTCTCTCCCATTAATCAGGGCATGCTGGATATTTAAATTGAGGATCTGCCACATACTCCTGCTCTCCTGTGAGATTTGGCTCGTAGGCGGTGCCTTTTTTTGAAGTCCCTTGAAATTAACCTGGCTTCCAGGTAACAGTGTCCTGAGCTCCCACTCCTAGCCGATTGGTCCCCCCACAGAGGCTGCAGCACCATCCTACAGTCTGCAAGCTCCAGCAGTTTCACTGTTTTTGTTGTTGTTGTTGTTATTTTTGTTTTGGTACCAGGGATCAAACTCAGGTCCTTGTGCTTGCGAGACAGGCAGTGGAACCACTGAGTTAAATCCCTGGCCCAGTTTGACTGTTTTAAAGTGTGGTTCCTGGCACTAAGCATATTCACACTGTTGTGCAACCACCACACCATCCATCTCCAGAACTTCTTTGGTCTTGCAGAACTCAAACTCGGTACTCATTAGCCATTAACTCCCCATATCCCCAGGCAATCCCAGTCTGCCTTGAATTTGCTATCCTGGTCCCTCACCTAAGAACATCTGTACTCTTTTTAAAAATTATTTATTTATTTATTTATTTTTAGAACATCTGTACTCTTGTGCCTGATTTATTCCACTAGTCATAATATCTCCAAGGTTCATTTGTATTGTAGGATGTGTCAAAATTTTCTTCCTTCTTAGAGCTGAGTAGTATTTCATTGTGTGCATGCACCACATTTTGTTTCTCTATTTATCTATTAATGGATACTTGAGTTGCCTCTATCTTGGTTATTGTTGATAATGCTGCTATAAATGTTGGTGTACAAATATGTGTTTGTACACCAATTATCTGCTTTCAATATTTTTGGTGTATAAATTCTGAAGCAAAACTCCTGGATCATATGATTTGTTTCTTTTGGTGGGGGTAGTGGTACTGGGAATCGAACCCAGGGCTTTCACAATGAACTACATTCTTGGCCATTTTTATTTTTTATTTTGAGTCAGGGTCTTGCTATATTGTCCAGGCTGGGCTCAAACTTGTGATACTCTTGCCCAACCTCCCAGTGGGCTGGGATTATGGACATTCACCACTACACCCAGCTAGCAATTCTATTTTTCAGTTTGTTGTTTTTTTCTGTTGTTTTTGAAACAGCATACTTTAGACCGCCCTTAAACTCACTGTGGAGCCCAGGGTGGCCTCAAACTTGCAGTGATCCTCCTGCCTCAGCCTCCTCAGTGCTAGGACTACAGGCGTGTGCACCATACCATACCTACTTTTAAATTTTGAGAAACAGCATAGTGTTTTCCATAGTGGCTATGTCATTTTGATTCTCACCAGCAGGAGTGCATGAGGGTTCTGGTTTCTTCACATCCTCAACAATACTTGTTCTTTCTTCTTTCTTTTCTTTTTTGTTTTTTGAGGTGAAAATGTTCTAAAGTTGTCCGTGGTGATGGTATTATCACTGGACAGTGTCTAGGGAGGTTCCCAAAGAAGGAGGTGAAGAACCTCTACTTATCCTACACATAGAATAAGTCTTTTGACTTCTGTCACAGAAAAAGAATTTTCAGGACTAATCAGTAAGGGGCATGAAAAGATTTAATTAGAAGAAAAAAGTACACGCTCCAGGACTGTACGGTTTCAGAGAATAAGATGCTTTGTTTTCTGGAGCTGGGAGTATCTGTTTATTTATTTATTTATTTTTGAGACAGGGTCTTGTTATGTAGCTCAGGCTGATCTGAACTCAGTACGTAGTCCAGGCTGGGCTCGAACTAGTGGCAATCCTGCCTCAGCCTCCCGAGTGCTGTGATTAAAGGCACCACCACGCCTGGCTAATCTAAAATATTTTACCTAAAATTATTCTTTGAACTCTGTCAATCTGTTCCTCTATCTTAAGATCAGGTTTCTGGGGCCGGGGATTTAGCTCAGTGGTTCCTGCGCCTGCCTCGCAAGCTCAAGGTCCCAGCGCAAGGTCCCGAGTTTGATCCCCGGTACCAAAAAAAAACTAAACAAAAAGATCAGGTTTCCATCCTTTATCAACTAAACTAATTTACAGATTTAAAGTATCTCTAAGGGATTTTGGGTGTGATAGGCCTGGAAGAAAAGAAGCATAAACAAGCCCAGGAAGTACAGATATAAATGAACTTAATTATAATTTTTCCTTGACTCTTTTCTAGCTATCTTTATCTATCCTATCTTTACCTTTACCTTTACCTATCTTTACCTATCCTACCTAAGTTGCATACATCTGTAGCTATACTAAAAACCACTGAACCGCACACTTTATTTTTGTGATGGTTTGCAAACGCTAGGGAAGTGCTCTACCTCTAAGCTACAGTCCTGGCCCTAAATTCTATGCTTTAAATGAGTAAATTATAATGTTATGTGAATTCTATCAATAAAGCTTTAAAAAAAAAAGATCAGAGTCAGCTTTTCATTGCTGAGATGAAATACCTGACCTAACGCAATTTAAAAGAGCTAGGATTAATTTGGGCTCCTGATTTCAGTTCATTGTCCAGGGCTCCAAGGCAGAGGGGGGCTTGGCGGGGGCCTGGCGTTACAAAGCTGCTCCCTTCAAGGCAGCCGGAAGCAGAGAGCGGGAAGACAGCCAGACAGGGAGGAAGGGGACAAAGTGCACTGGTCCAGGTCACGGCCACAGTGACCCACTCTCCTCCACGCTTAGAGACACACATCTGCAGCTGACAGTGTGACAATGTCCATTTCTTGTCTTGTGTTTATTTTATATTGATAACCCTGATGTTTTACCACAAGCATTTTGAAATTTAATGAGGCCGTGGCAACTTGACAGTGCAGATGGGCCAAACACAATGTTTCCCTTACACTAAAGACTCAGACTCTGTTTCCCCTTTTATCTTTTTTTGTTTGGACAAAGAAAGTTGAATTTATTTTGTAGCAAAAATGAATGAAAAAGAAATACATTAAACAGAACAAACTTAACTACAAAGAGTCATTAACCTTTTGCCAGTCTCTGTTTTAAGAGCTGTTTCATGAAATTAGAAAGCAAAGACTCATCAAAATAAAGTAACAACTGAATAAATAATCTCCATTTTAGAGTTGTGCTGTTCCATTAAACAAAGTCTGAGTTTCCTGGATGATTCTAAAATCCCTTCTAGCTCTGGGGCAGGCTTAACTGTAGCTCCTGGTCTGGTCAGAAGTCAGGGGGCCACTGACACTCGGGCCTTGGACACTCAGGGCAGGACCTTCTGTCCTTTCATCCTGTCTCCTGGGATTGTGACTCCCTTCCTGTCCAGCTGCATGGCAGACCTCATGGCCCCCAGAACCCCACTCCAGCACCCTCAGAAAGGCAGTGTGACTGAGAGACCAGCTTGAGTCTGTTCAGCTATTAGACCTGTTTCTTCATCTGTAAAATGGGGATAAGGTGAAAGCTTACCTTGGAATTGTTATAAAGGAGAAATAAGACATACATGAGATTTTTTTTTTTTTTAACACGAGGGGTTTTTTTTGAAACAGGTTCACACTTTGTAGTGCAGGCTGGCCTTCAACTTGCAGTGATCCTCCTGCCTCACTCTCCCATGTGCTGGGATTACTGGTGTGCACCAGCATGCCTGGCTCATGAGGTCTTAATGTATTGTATAGTATATAGTGAGTGCTTAATAAATGTATGAGTATGTATACATGACTACATGTATATATGGTATGAATATGTAGGCACAAGACCACGTGCTTTTGTGAACTGGAAACCCAGACAGAAGAGAGACACGTATGTATGGCACTGCTTTTAAAAAGTCACAAGTATTCATTATATAATTAAAAACCCTTGAGCCAGGCATAGTGGTGCACATAGCCCTGCAATCCCAGAACCAGGGCAGCTGAGGAAGGATTGTGAGCTACACAGCCAGCCTGGACTACAGTGAAGCCCGTCTCAAAAACAAATACCCATTGGGGATGATGCCACACACCTGTAATCCCAGCATTTGGGAGGCCGAGGGCAGAAGGATCCCCATGAGTTCAAGGCCAGTTTGAGACACATAGTGAGACCCTGTCTCAAAAACCCAAAGGGCGAGGGCCAGGGATTTAGCTCAGTGGCACCGTGTCTGCCTTGCATGTGGAAGGTCCTGAGTTCGATCCCTGATACCGGAAGAAAAACCCACCACCACCAACAAAAACAAACCCAAAGGGCAGGGGCAGTTAGGGATGTAGCTCTCACACACAAAAAAACATGAAACTAAGCCAGAGTCTATGCTTTTAACCACTGTCAGGGGGCTAAAAAAGCTCAATTCAGCCTCCACTGCAACTATAGGAACATTTAGATCTACAATGTTAATATAACAGCAACTAGCTATATGTGGGGATTTAAATTAATTAAAATTAAGGAAATTAGAAATTCAGCTCCTTGGTCATGTTTGCCATATTTAACATGCTCAATGTATTCCTGTGGAAAGTGGCTGCCATACTGGACAGCTCTACCATCACAGGAAGTTCTGTTAGGTGAGGCTCTTCCAGACAACTCTATAAAACATTAGCCAAACAAAAGACTCCAACTCAACACGTACTGCATGGATTTTTTTAATTAAATACACTTCATAATGTTATTTGCACCTAGTACACATTTTTTGAAAAATAAGACATGCCATATTAGTCATGAAGTTAACAAAATATAAGCATCCACACAGAATATATTCTAAAGTGACTTCATTTACACAGCTTCTCAGAGAAACACCCAAGCAACTTTTTGGCTGTCAGACAGTGTTGGACTGGAAATCCAGGAGGCTGCAGGGAGGGTTCCCTAACATCACTCAGGTGACTACTGTGTCCACATAGTGGCATCAGAAGGACATGTCAGTCCTCTCTTCTCTCCTTAGCATTCACCTCTACCCTGCAAATCCCCAAACCTACAGCTTAAAGTGAGGGCCTCCTTAGACCTGTGGAGTATCGGGAGGGGTTAAGGGGCTCCTGTCCTCGAAGGCACCAGTCTAAAGCTGAGTCCCAGCCTGTGGAATAAAATGGTACAATGCAGGTGGGCGGGAAAAACCAGAGAACAACTGTGAATGACTTTGCTTTGGGTATCTCGCTTTCTACCTAGGAAGGAGATCGAGGACTTGAGAACTTAAGAGGGCTTGGGGATGTCAGAGCCACAAGTGACAATAAACCAGCAGGGCTGTGTGCGGAAGGCTGGTGTTCCCCTCCCATCCCAGCAGCCAGTGCCGCATGGCCAGTAGTAGTCCATCTACATCCGGGACATTGCCTGTGGGTGGTGAGCCTGGGACACTTCAGAACTCTGGGAACGATGGCTCTGCCGGCACTGTTTGCTGACTTCCCAGCGGCCGAGCCCTGGCCTCCACTCAAGAAGCTACCATATTGCTTTCTGCTCCGCCCGTGTGGTTCAGCTTTGTGATGCCACTGCACCAAAGCCAAAGACTGGAGGCTGCACAGGGCCCAGGGAAGTTCCTGGGTGGCACCAGCCCCTGGATCTGCAGCAGACCTAAAGTTACAGCACACTTTTGTCCATTCATCTCCAGAAAGCTGGCTGACCAAGGCCCAACAGCCTGTAACAAACAGGAAGGGGATTCAAGGAAGGTTGGGAGCACATACGTATCACCCCACATTCTTACAGATCCCCTGGGATCAACATGTTTAAATAATCTCCTGCTCACCTTCATGTCCATTCTAACCCCACCCCCAGGCTTAGAAAAATCACTTGGGAAATGAGGAATACCTGAATAGCAGTGAAACCTGATTTTAATTTCCCCTTTGTATTTTGTTCTTGCAGGCTCAGAGACTGACCTTGAAGGTGGTTTATTACCCCTTCTGTTTCTACCTCCACCATGAACAGTCTCCTTTCTAATCACTGCAGATCCTGCCATTCTGTTCCTCATGAACCATCAAAGGCTCACATGTTCTCCCCAGTCCGTACTTAACCCCCAGGATTTGGCCTCCATTGCTGATTTTTTGAGGCTCAACTCCCACCATCCTCCCTGGCTCTTCTTTGACAACTCCACCTCCTAATCCCTGTGCTTTGGAAATGCTGGCCCCTTTGCCTGGAGGGGGGAATCACCCCACTATCTATGCTTGGTGCGAATCATAGCTGGCTTTGCCACCATTCATCAGTGGAGCCCAAATCGTCTCCAATTCTGAATAGCTTTGGGTTCAAGGCCACCATGACTGTCACTTTCTGTCACCGCCCACCCTGCCAGAGACTCCAGGGCCACTATGTCTCCTCCTGCTGGCCTGGATGGCAGGGACTAAATCTTATGTTTGTAGCTTTGCCCTCTAAATTTGTAATACACAGTAAATGCCTCAAAAATATTGTTGAACTGAGTGGATATTCTTCCTAAGGGGTAAAGCTCCTTGTCTGTTGCCTTCTTGGGCATTTAAGACACAATACAAAAGTGGGTGGCTAAGACAGAATATGAAGTGCTTATCACAGGCAACGATGGCAGAGCTTTGGAAGTCAGGGTCCTACATGGGCATTGAGCGAAGTCCAGACGGTTAAGTGCTGGCTAACACTGGTCTGGTAACACTGGTATCTTGGCTGTTAGTTAAAGGCTGTCTAGGGAGGCAGTAAGCTAGTCCTAAGTGTATTTACTAGGTGGAGAAATGCTACAGATCCTCCAGGGCTATTTCACCTGCCAGAGGAATGCCGAGAGGAAATGGAACTATAATTCTAACTTTCTGGCATGCGTCTCGGAGGTCTTAGTGGTGTCTTCTCCAATTAGTAGGCTTTTGAGGGGTGTGATCTCTGGGTATTAGCATCAGAATCTCGTGGTGCCAGTTCAAAATGCAGATGCTTAGGCTCCACCCCATTCCTACTTAACCCGAGTCTCTGCAGTTGGGGGTGTAAGAATCTGTATTTTAAATAAACTCCTAGGGGATCCTCATATTAAAGTTTGCAAATCTTTCCCTGCCATTCTCAGAAGTGCACAGCCTAAGGCATTGATGGCAAACCTTTTAGAGCTTTCAACGATACAAACAGCCTGGTTTGTCACGAGTGCCATAGATTTGCCGCCACTGGCAGAGGGGAAGACAGTCATGTTCGAAGGCTTCACTGGGTCACAGCGCTCACAGCCGAAGACCTAGACAGTCTCTCAACTGCAGAGAAATGAACCAACAGTTCCGGTGTGGTTTGTGGGTCTATAAAGGAAGGATGGAGCGGAAGTGGGAGAGGCTGAAAAGTGAGGCCCCCCCTATCTTCCCAGATGGTGGCAATGTGCAGGGAAAAAATAACCGATCAAACAGCCAGATTTCCTGCCTATCGTTTATAAAGATGGGCAGGAAGATTAAGAGGGACTTTTCTTCCCAAATGGGCTCAGGTATCATCACCCTTGCTCCCAGCCCTCTTAGTTTTTCTCTTTCTTCTGCTAACTTCCCGGCTCCTTGGTGGGAGGGTGGGGTGGGATCAAGTAGTTCCCAGAGAACAAAAACCAGGTTTGTTTTCAGAGATGATCCAAAATAAACACACACCATCATCCTCATTGGAGGGGCACGGACAGAAGGCAGATGTACACTGCCAAGACACCAAAGACCACATGTTCAGGGCTGGCCTGCTGTGTGTGAAAAGGTGGACATGAATACTGTCAAAAACAGAGATTCAGGAGATGACAGAGACAAGGCATGCACGTGTGGTGGCGGAAGACCAGTGCTCACTGTCTCCAGACTGGTCAGGGTGGAATCTCTGACTTGGTTTTGCTTTGAAGAACGTTGCACTGGCTTTGGTCACAGGCTGGGGAGGCCCAGTGTCTGTCTTTGAGGAGATGAAAAGGCTCCCAATTTCTCTGGACTAAGCCCACCTGGAATTCTGCTTTCACCCAGCTCCCCCCATCCCCATTTGAAATTTCCAAGACCAAGCGAATGTTTGCTTGCCAGAAACTGAGGCTTTCCAAGATCTGCTTCCATAGAACTTGCAGTCTGAAAGGTAAGATCAGGAAGGCAAGTTGTAGAATGAAGGGTGGAGCCACTGTCGGCCAGGCTTGAGCAGTTAAGAGAAGGCAAGTCACGTGGAGGTGGCTCATTCCTTCTTGCTGTGCTCCAGGACACGGTAGGGAACCCCAGGGGTGCTTCTGGAGCTGTGCTCTTCTTGCATGACTGGCAGTGTGGCAGGGGTGTAGATCTCGGATATGTTGTCGTTGTTTTCCAGGGCCCCATAGGAAAAAGAAGCTTTGAGGTCAGGCTGGACTGTCATGCCCTTGTCATGCATGTTTTGCATACCTGGAATGAAATCAATTTCCCTGTCAGGACAGGGTTAGGGGGCCAGGAGGACTGCATCTTCCTCTGTCCCACCACTGACCACCAGGGAGCACAGGGGCTGGTCATGCATACAATTTCCTCAATGCTTCAGATTCAAGAGAACACCCATTAATACACAGTAGAAATATTACAGTTGCTAAGCAACAGGGACACATCTTCAGGAAATGTGTGCACGCACCAGCCCTTGTTGGCCAGGATGAGGTGGGGATGTGTGTTTGGATGCAGGTGGGGTGGGAGAGCACTGTGCTTTGGATGTGGTAGATGCCGACACGTCACTGATGAGTCAGCTCAGGACAGAACCCATCACGCTGCTGAGGGGAGAGGTCATCGGACAGCGAGGGACGAATTGTGGTGCTCAGGGGAGGGTTTCACCTTTAGCATCAACATCCCTGCTGCACATGCAGGGTGAGGTGAGATGTGACTCTACCTATTTCTTCTGGGCACATGGTGTTGGGTTTCTACCTACATTTGAGGGCAAAGACCTTCATCTTTCATTCCTGTAACTTTCCCTATAATTCCTCCTGTCAGGAGGGACTTAGTTACTTTGAAGGCCAACTCTTTTCCTGCCAGGGAATAAAGGCCCTCAGATTCTCCTGCCTTCAGGCAGTCAGAAGAAACAACACAGTGTCTTTCCTAAAACTGTGCTGCCATCTGACTGCTGGATGTGCCCTAGGCACTGGGCTAAGTGGTACCAGTCCCAGCCACAGCAGTAACAATAATGGCTAAAATGTATGAGTGTTTACACAGTAGCATGCCGGCTGGGCATGGTGGCATATGCCTAGAATCCCAGCACTCTGGGAGGCTGAGTCAGGATGATCAAAAATTCAAGCTCCGCCCAAGCAATTTAGTGACTTAGCAAGACCCTATGTCAAAAGAAAGAAGAAAGAAAGAAAGAAAGAAAGAAAGAAAGAAAGAAAGAAAGAAAGAAAGAAAGAAAGAAAGGCAGGCAGGTTGGCTGGGGCTGCGGCTCAGTACAAAGGCCCTAGGTTCAGTCCCTAGTAATGAAAAACAAAACAAAACCCCAAAACCAAACAGAAACAAAACCCAAAAGAAAACAAAATAAAAAACCAGAATGCTATGTGGCTTCCCTTGGGGACCTGCACTTAGTCCCCAAACAATCCTATGACAAAGATGAGTGTCCACCTCATTTTCTAGATAAGAAAACAGAGACTTAGAGAGGTAAAGTGATTTCCCACGGACACAGAGCTGATGAGAGACAGCTGAGATAGAACCTTAGGGCCCGTGTTCTACACAATCTGCAGATGGCCTGGGAAGACCCAGTCTGTGGCAGGGCCCCTGGCTCCATATCTCACAAGACCCAGCAGAAAGAAATAAAAAGACCCAGCAGATAGGCATCTGAAGGCCAGTTTCAATGTCTGAGGTTGTGATTTTGGGGGGAGAGGGATGAGGGGTACCTGTTCCTCAGGGAACAGAGCTGGCTCACCAAGTGCTATTTAGCTGTTGGATTTTGTCAGTGTCCTCCCACTGAAGACCACCAGGAATCCACTTCCAGTCTAACAAGGTGGGGTATACTGACTCACCTCGATGATGAGATGTGCACCACAGGGAGTCATGGGTGTGTGAATAAGGGCTCTGAGAAGGATCTGCTAGGGGATTTGGGCTTGGCTTGGGTGATTTGAGACAGGGATCAAGGAAGTGAGTCTTTGCTTTGGACTCAAGCTGTAGGGAAGTGGGGACACTTCTGAAACTGGGGAGCTTAACAATGAAGAGCAGATGGAGCTAATGCGGTGGCAGGCACAGCAGCAGGCGTCTGCACATTAGCCAGAGTAGGGCCCTTTTTGGTGGCTTGGACAATGTTCACATTTCTTCTGTGCTCAGATCTGAGGGGGTGGTCCTGTTCATGTGGTGACCAATTACAGTCAGAGTGGCCTTGTCTGATGGTGGCATTCTGTGAAATAGTATCTATTCAGCCAGTGACATTACAGCAAGTGGAGGGCCATGTCAGCTGCCAGAGGATAGGGCTGCTCCTCTTTTTCTCCTGCTTTTTTTTTTTTGAGACAGTGTCTCACTATGTAATTTAGGCTGGCCTCAGCCTCTTGAGTACTAGGTTTACAGGCACACGCCACCACATCCAGCTTTTCATGTTTAAAAAGGCTTTGGGGGCTGGGGAGGTAGCTTAGCAGTGGAGCACTTGCCTAGTTATGTGCAAGGCCCTGGGTTAGATCCCTAGCACTGTGAGAAGAAAACCAAAACAAAAAAATAAAGGCTTCAGTTTCTTAATACTTGAAGCTTCTCCAAATTATGACATGTTGAGAATTTTTAGAATTTGAAGTCCCTGAAGATCTCTTGAACATCAACTACTGGTCTATTATACCAACCTAGACAGACAAAAGGCCAATTCCTTTTGCTAACCAGGTAGCAGGAAAAGTGCCTCTGCCTAAGCTTAGAGTACCAGGCAGTTTTATTCTGCATGTGCTACCTGGCACCAGGTCAAACAAGTGTTTGAAACTTTCAAAGTTTGTTAAAGCAAAAAGGAAGTGAAACCAAATATAACCAGGCATCTACCATGTCCCAGACACAGTGCAAGAGGCCTCTGCAATCAATCTGAACCCACCTCCCTGAAAGCAAGAATCCCAATTTACAGGTGAGAATGAGAGGCCCTGGGAGGCCACAGGGCAGGTGCATGGCAGAACTGGGGTTTGAGTCCAGGTCACCTGAACTCCAAGTCCATGCATTTAATCAGAAGTGTCCCCACAACCACTGCAATAGGGCTGGGTCCCCACTCTTCAACATCTGATTTCCAACTGGTCACAAGGTACAAAGAGAAAGCCAAGAGCCACACCCACAAACAGGCCACAGAATGTTGATATCTAAGATTACCTGAGATTACCTTCTACTTTCCACCACAAAATACGTCTGTACATACATGTACACACAAACATGTGTATAGATATATACACACGTATAGTTATAGGTACACAAACACACATATACATACACATACTGGCACACACAGAGTTGACACCTCACCTATCTGGAATTCAGCTATCCAGCGCCCTCATCTATCCGGAACACAACCAAGAAACAAGGAAGTAAGCAAAAAAAGGCATCTGAGCAGCCCGATTAGATGTTTAAAAAGTCCATGCACTAAAGCCCATGCATTTAACTCCTGGGAGAAACCTCAGGTTCCCAACTCGGAGCTCATTCATTGTGGTTTTATTTTATTTTATTTTTTTTGGTACCAGAGATCGAACTCGGGTCCTTGCGCTTACGCAGCAGGTGGTGAAACCACTGAGCTAAACCCCTGGCCCCATTCATTGTGGTTTTAATACACAATCTGAACGGGTGGGGAAAACGAGGAGACGGACATGGAGTCGCTGTACTCTGGGAGGCTGGTCACAGTGAGAATGGCAGACAACAGCTTAATGGCACGAGATGAGGAAAGAACATAAAAAGGAGACAATAAACTAATTTATTGGGATCGTTTAATACAGGGGCACCTCGGCCCACCCTGAGAACACAGCGTCACAGCACAATGACTAAGAGCTGCTTTTGACTAAGCAGTCATCTCTGCCATCAGTGTTGTTTAAATTTTGTTCACTAGCCTGTGTTAGTGGAGAGTGGGCAATTCTGTTTTGCAGAGTTCCATCTTACATATTTAAAATAAAAATTAATTTTGAGTTAACCTAGAGAATTTTGGTCAGCAAACTTAGCTGGGTCTGCCTCAAGGTCTTCATTCTCTGGATTTGACTCCTTTAGGCTGGACAGGCACCCTGTAGTTCTCCCCAGCCCCCACTCCTCCCGACTGCACAGTATTTGGCTGAGTCATCTGCATTACTGTCAGAGCTGAAGGCATTTGAGCTTGTGCTCTTCAGTGTGAACTCTTAGCTCTCTGGAAAAAGAGAACTGCCTGTGGAATCCAGGTGGTGAATTTCATTCATCCTATTTTCCTCTCTGATCATTCCATTCCAAGGAGATGGATGGATTTTTCCATTTGCAGGCACGAAGCCTGGTGCTACAGATCATGATTACATCCAGTGTGAATCAGGATTTTCTTGAAAAGATCCCAAAATAGACATGGGACCTGGTGAGATGTGCTCAGAACTAACCGAGGCACCTCTGCCATTGCCTCTGCTTTTGCATAAGATTAAAAAAAGAAAAACAAGACAGGGAGAGGACAGCCACACCAGGAGACACCGCACACCTCTCCTGTGCCACGCCCAGCGCCTGCTTCCTGTTTCAACAGGAAGCCGCAGTACTCTATAGGGACGGCCAGCTGGACACGTGGGGTGGTCACGTTACCTGGCATGGCATCCATGGAAATGTAGGGCTCAAATGGAATGGCCTTCTTCCTGTTCCGAGTGATTAAGAAGACGCCCAAGAAGGCGATGAGGCACCTGAGGAAGGGGGACAAGAGAAATAAGGGAGGAAGGCTGAGGCTGGGGAGGGACCCGTGCAACAGCAGGTGGAAAGGGGAAGGTAGAAGAAGCCTGCAGAGGAGGCTGCTCCGCAGAGAAGCCCTGAGGGGCTGCAGGCCTGAGATCAGTAGGCAGCAGATGTTGGGTGAATTATCACAGCTGAGGATCCCCATGCCCTACACCCCATTTAGGCTAGAATCAGAATAAATTAGACTCTCCCAGAAAAACTCTTTCACTTCTATTCAGCCAATACTCCCAGAACCTTGCTTTAAAAAATGTTCCTTACATATGCTTTATGGCCCAAATTCAATTACTACATTAATATAGAAAAGTAGGGCCGGGGATTTAGCTCAGTGGTTCCGCTGCCTGCCTCACAAGCACAAGGACCTGAATTCGATCCCCAGTACCAAAAAAAGAAAGGAAGAAAGAAAGAAAGAAAGAAAGAAAAGTAAACATTAGTAAAAACTGGGAGGTCCCTGTACCCTTAATTCTACTTCTGCAGGTAGGTATATATTCTTCCAGAGTATTTTTTGTTTTCTTTTCTTTTCCTTATAAACTTATGTAAACAAGCACAGTTTCTAAAAACTGAGGTATAATTTGTATAGACTAAAAAGCACAAACCCAGCTGGGTGTGGTGGCACTCTGGGAGGCTGAGGCAGGAGGACTGAAAGTTTGAGCCCAGCCTGAACAACTTAGGGAGACTGTCTCCAAATAAAAAATAAAAAAGGTTGAGGATGTAGCTCAGTGTAAAGGCCCTGGCTCAATCCACAGTACTGGAAAAGGAAAAAACAAAGCAAAAGCACAAGCCTTAAATAGTCAGCTGGATGAATTTTACCTGGAGGTACACTTGTGTAATCACATCCCAGGTTAAGGCAGATATATATATTTTTTTTCTTTTTGGTGCCAGGGATTGAACTTGGGTCCTTGCACTTGCGCAGCAGGTGGCAAAACCACTGAGCTAAATCCCTGGCCCAAGGCAGAAATATTTCTATCCCTTCACAGGTCTCGTGCACCCCTTCCCTGTTCACTCCAAGTCTTCATCAGAGGTAACCACTGATTTGCTTGTCTCACATTCTTGTGAGTTAACTCTTCAGTGTGTGCTTTTATACCCAGTGTAGTTTCTAAGATCCACTTATTTTACTGCATGTATTAATTCATTAGTTTTAATTGTTGTGTAGAATCCATTGTCTGAATATTCTGTACTTTTTCTTTTACCCTCCTCTCGGCAGACATTTAGGTTGTTTGCAGTTTGGGCCTATGAGGAATAAAGGGATTACAGACTCTCCTGCAGGAGTCATTCTGTCAATACCCACACTCATTTCTTAGGGGTTAAAATCTAGAAGTGGAAGCCTACCTTTCTTTTTTTTGTTTTTTTGAGGCAGGGTCTCCCTTTGTAGTTCAGGCTGGCCCTGAACTCACTATGTAGCCCAGGCTGGCCTCGAACTCACAGCAATCCTCCTGCCTCAGCCTCCTGAGTGCTGGGATCACAGGCATGTGCCACCACGCCTGTCTCTTACCCTTCTTTTTTTAAAGGGTAAGCCATACTTCAAAAAAAAGTTTGTAAATGTTTGTCTTTTAATGTGTCCTAGATGTGCCTGTGGGCTGGTCTCCATTTTTCGAAACAGCAGCCTGCCACTCTGTAATATGGGTATACCTTGACTAATTCAACTTGTGTTCTACTGCTGGACATTTAGGCTGCTTCCGATTGTCAGCTTATACATAGGATAATTTAAATATCAATAAATAGCTTCATCTAATTATCTTTGTGTCCCCATTCAAATGTTTTCATAAGAAAAATGATGACATCTGGAATACTGCATCCAAAATCGTGCCCATGTAAAGTTATTACTGATGTTGCTACATTGTCCCCCACACTAACATGCTGCTCAGTGTGACAGGCAGTGGCTGGTCTCCTTGTCCTCTCGCCAGCATGGAGTATTATCAGTCCTGCTGGGTTTTGCAAATGACTCTAAAGGACCCAGCGCTAAAGCAATCACATGGACAGGGCCACCTGCCTGCAGTGGACTCCACATGTACACCTGGGCAGCAGCAGGTGACTCACCCCAGTGCAAACATGCAGATGTGCAGCACATCCTCCCCGACGAAGTCCAGGTAAAATATTGCACCTGGACAGGGAGGAAGAGAAAAGATCAGTGAGCTGCTTCCCGAGCACCTGCATGCCAGTCTGACTAGGGTTTGGCTAAGCTGTCTTCCCTATGGGAAACCAGAGTGGTCAAAAATATTGTGACTACGCCCGTGGCTGTAAAACAGCAGAAGAACAGACTACAAGCCACTTAGGGGAGCAGACTGTCTTCATCCCTCTATGCCCCTAGGCTTCTCTTATCTCTATCTTGTTTTCATGGCTTCCCTTGTGTTCTTGAGCTCCTGACCCATCACTTGACTCCTCTCTGACTCAGCCAGTGTTTGTGCTCCTTACAGTGTTGACTGGTTTTCAGTCTTCTTGGCTAAGGCTCTTGACCGTGACTTGACTCAGCTCCTGGCTGTCGGGGGTCAGTGCCCAGTCCAATACCTGGTCCTCAGAGCGCAGGTCCTGGAAGGCTGTACACCCTGCTTGTCCTTGCCCCAAGAAGCAAGTACTACCTGTGCCAAGCACAGTGCAGAGCATGTAGCCAGGCCTTCTGCAAGGCAGCCCTGGGTTTCAGCAGCCTTTACCCTGAAGATTTTAGTAACACTGCCATTTAAAAAACAAGCCCGGAACAGTGGCACCTGCCCATAATCCCAGTACTCTGGGAGGCTGAGGCAGGAAGATCACAAGTTTGAGCTCAGCCTGTACAACTTAATGACTTAGCAAGATCCCGTCTCAAAATTTAAACAAACAAACAAACAAACAAGCAAACAAACAAACAGGGCTGGAGCTCAGTGCAAAGGTTCTGGTTCAATCCCTAATACCAGAAAATAAACAAATGGACAAACCCTCAATAATATGCTTGTAGTCTTTGAATCTACTTCATATAAAAAATTAAGGAGAGGGTAGAAGAAAAAGGAGTATAGAAATGATATTGACTGCTTACTGAGCATCTATGATACTGCAGATGGCTCAAATACTCATGAGCTCTAAATATCATGTAGGAGAGAGTCATGCTGACTCAGCCAGTGGGGGCTGTGGAGTTAGCATGCTGGCCAGAATTTTTGAAGAAACCTTGCCCACAATCCACAAGCAGTATGGAGCGGGGCCGTCTGGACTGTACATACTGCAACCCCAGGGCATGTTATTACTCCCATTCTAGGAACGCAGAGCTGCAGTGCAGAGAGGTTAGGTGATTTTCCCAGAGCCACACCACTATTATGCCTTTGTGCTGGGCTGCAAACCCAGCTTTCTCTGGCTCCACATCCTGGGCACCCTCCATAAAACCAGACAGAAGACAGAAATCTAGCTCTCGACCATCCTTACCTGCTGTGATAGCCACAGTGGTGGACAGGATGTAGCCCACACTGGCGATCAACGAGGAGTCATAGATCTGTGAAGCTTGACTTAAAAACCTGCAACCAAAAGCATTCAGATCAGTGGGCTGCGGGCAGGCTGGAATGGTGCAGTATGGCCTGGAATGCGGGAAGAAGCGTCCCTCAGGGTCATGTGAATGCCGTCTTTGTGTCACGGGCACCATGTGTCCCTAGGTCTGAGGTCCACAAGAGGTTCATGGCTTGGGGCCAAGTGGGCCACACCTTCCTGGTCTCATGCCTTGGACCCTGTGGTTCTTGACACCTCAAATGGGTTCTCCTCATCCCATGTTCCCACCCCCCAAAAAGACCCACTCCTCGTCCCGTCCACACACACCAAGACACTCAGATATGTGGGTCACATTCTGTCCAGTGTTGTAATTATTTTAAACATTTTTTCTTTTTGGTTCAAAAATAATGTGATTATTGCAATAAAAATAGGAAAAAAGAAAAAAAACATCAGTCACCCCAGTCTCATTTGTGCTAGACATTACCTTCATTTCGGGATAGATTCTCTGCCCTTCCTCTGAGTGGCATTCTAGCCAGCATAGTACAGATGCACACACACAGCCACCCTCAGTCACAACTGCCTGTTTATGGCCTGGCCCTGTCTAGGCTCCGGGTGCCCGGAAGGCAGTGGCTGGTTGTGTGCACTGGGCCCTCAAGTGCTGTGCTGACTGGGAGATGAGAAGCTGTGGCCTCTAGGTCATTGTGTGACCCCTGGCCACTTGCACAGAGCCTTGCCATTCACAGGGGCTCCCTGGGGATGACTGGAATTTTAAGTAGGATGAAAAATATTAATAGTGAAAATGGTAGTCGCAGTAACAGTAATCATCATACAGGAAACTAGTGGATCTGGAATGCCATCCTGGGGACTGCAAGGGATGCTCTTAGGTCAGGACTGTTTTTCTCATCTGTGAGTGCAGATTCTGAGCCTTGAAGATTTTGAGCAGCGGAGAGGAGTGTGAGCCCTGGGCTGGACATCAGGTACAACTCTCAGCTCCACCTTTCCTACCTTTAACCTCTGCCTCAGGTCTCCAGGTGCAAAATGGGGATAGCACAGCTCCTTCCCAAGAATCTGTGAGGACCAATGAGTTTGTTCCTAAGCACAGAGCAGAATGGCCTCGCTGAGCTCCCATTAGCAGCAGCTACTGGTCTGTTCCCTTGAGGCCCCATAGTTGGGGAACACAGAGCCCAGGTCCGACCTTCCAGGTGGACTCGGCCGTGTCTTATGTACTGACACAGGTTGCCACCTGCTCCCTGCCGGGCCTTTGCCTGGTCTCCAGGGCTCAGCTGGGAGCAAGACATAGGACCTACCCTCAAGACTGCTGAGTTTTAATCAAATCGTAGGCTTAGAGAGAGAAACAAGCACTGGCTTTTCAACTTGGGAAGATTTGGGGGAGCTTTCTTGAGATGAGAAATGACAACGCTTATTCCCCACCTAGCAGTCAAGCGGGGGTCCTTCTTGGCTGCCAGAGCTTCTCCTGAAGCCCCTGGCATGAACAGATGCCTACTCGGAGAAGGTGGGAAGCAAGGTGCCTCTGACCATGCAGTTCTCATGTTGTGAGGTGGACAGAAAACAACAGCACACGACCAAAAAGTCCACTCCAGGCTTCATGTCCCAGGTGGCACAGAGCCCCACCATGGGACAAATCAGCACCCTCATAGCTCCTCGCTCCCTGATGGAGGCCAGATGCTGGTGATCTGAATGTTCTTCCTTCCCCATGGCTTCAAACCCCAATGTAACTGGGCCCAGAAAATGGAAAATCTGAGTGGTGAGGCCCAGGGGGAAAAGAATTTGCTACTCACGCAGCCTGGTAGACAGCGGTGGCCACCATGCACACGAACATCACGTAGAAGATGGGGTAGTCGAGCTGCAGGTTCCCCTGGATGGATAGGACCAGCATCCCAGCCACGGCCTTGACTGTCACCACTGTCATGGAGCCTGAAGATGGGGAACAAGGGCATGAGGTAGCCTTAGGGAAATGCAGGGAGCAAGACCCAGAAAGTCAGTTATAATCCCATAGGGCTGTGTGACCGAGATGAGAGGGAAGGCTGGTAGAGTCAACTGGGGACTTGCATGGATTGGGTCTCTACCTCCCCCGACTGCTAGCACAGCAAAGTAGGGAGGAGAACAAGACACTGATAGCTATTTTCAAACATCGCCTCTAAGCTCCATAAGAGTGGGCAACACAAGTGCCTGGCACTGTGCTCAGAACATGGTGGGAAGCCCAAGGATCTCTGAATGAACAGATGAACTTCTTTTGACATTAGTCTCATAACAATCACAGGAAGACGTGGATGTGTGGAGAGCTTAGGAGTTATGACTTTTTAATGCTCAGTAACTTGTATTTTTAAAAACATTTCTTTACTCTGAGAAGTCTCTGATGTTTTGGAGCTCTGTGTGTATGCACATACATTCCTAATAGATATGTGTGTACTTATTTCAAATTTATAGTCTGCACTTTTGTGGTGTGGACGTTATAGAACATGGACAGAAAATGTAATTTATAAGGTGGAGGAGAAATTCTCTAAGTTTTAACACTTTCTTCCTATACACTGCTGGACCACCTGTCCTCCTCACAATGGAGACCATCACTTTCCCACGGTACGAAAACAGCATCTGCTGGAAACCAAGAGAGCCCTGTCAAGCAGGAGTTAGCCCACATATTTGGCGCAGGAAGCCCTCGTCCTGGCTGTGCAGCTGTGCTTTGGGGCCCTGCCAGCTGGCCAGTCAGCTTCTGCCAACAGCCCACCACACCCAGCCTCTTCCAGGCCTTGGCCATGAGGCTACATTGTCCCAACTGAGGACAGCCCTCGTCACCACCGTCCTGTTAGTGACAATGAGACTGCCCCACCTTGGTGTGGCCTCACTACTCCCAAAGAGAGAATGTCCAGAACCCATGTCCTTCTAACCCACTTTAAAAACAAAGTCACCAAGAGACACAGGGCTGAGTCACACTGTAACACAGATGAGCCTCAAACACACCCTCCCTGAAAGAAGGACGCTGGTCACAAAGGGCCACAGAGTACAAGGTGTGGCCAACATAGATGGTGAATATTTAAATTTTAAAAAATGATTACTGTAAAAGATGCACTGCCAATAACCCTAAAAATGCACCCTCCCCCCTTCAAAGACACTTTTTCCATTGTTAGTGCCACTTTGGTCTTTTTTTTCTTTTTTGGTACCAGGAATCGAACTCAGGGCCTCATACTTGCCAGGCAGGTGCTGTGCCACTGAGTTACGTCCCCGACCCTGTTAGTGCCACTTTCTGAAGCAGTTTCATGAAGACCTCTTTCATGAGTGTCTTTAAGAGGTGTGTTCAAAAATATGGTGAATGTAGGTGCCAAATGCCATCCAATGCAAAGACAGGCTCATGAGAACATTACAGTGTGTTCTCATCCACCTCATTCACTAGATCTGGCACTGTGCAACTTCTGGCTCTTCCCCAAAGTGAAAAAGACCATAAAAGGTAAATGTTTTGAATTGATTCAGGACATTGAGGCAGCCATAACAGTGTGACTAAAGATACTTGTGAAAAAGGAGTTTTAGAACTGCTTCAAAAAGTGGTAAGAATGATGGGATATGTGTATTCAAAGTGAGAGGGCGCATTTTAAGGGAGATTAATGGAAATGTGTCTTTTTTTCTTTGGCAATGTGTCTTTTATCATAATCATTTAAAAAAATGTAACACTCACCATAGTTTTTTAATCACACCTCATACATGATTCTATTTATGTAAGATGCTCAAAAAGGCAAGTCTAGAGAGACAGAAAGTAGGTGAGTGATTACATGGGGATGGGGCTGGGAGCAGGGGGCCAGGGAGTAACTGTTAATGGGCCCAGGGTTTATTTTGGGTGTGACAAAAAGTATTCTAAAATTAGAATAGGATGAGGCCTGCACAACTCTGTGAATATACTAGAAACCCTGGACTTGTATACACTCAATAGGTGAATTTTATGAATTCATTCTCAATAAAGTTATTTTTTAAAAAATAAATCAAAATAGCGCAAGCTTGTGCTCAGTGACAGATGTCCATGTGGTTATGTCCTGTTGCATCATGGGGCTCTTGGGGAAAGACAGAAGAGAAATAACTCACACTGGGCCGTCGTGCTCATTTCAATCTCCTCTCTGCCCTGCCATCTGGGTGTTCTCATGTGCCCATTTTTATTTTAAAAATATTTTTATTTTGTTCTGTTTTTTGAGACAGGGTCTCGCTATGTAGTTCAGACTTGCCTTGAGCCCACTATGTAGCCAGGCTGGCCTCAGATTTGTGGTGATCCTTCTGCCTCAGCCTCCTGAGTGCTGGAATTACAGCCATGCACCACCACGCCCAGCCTCAAGTGTGCATTTTTAGAATGAGGACAGTGTGGGTTGGAGGGAGAGCCACCAGTGGGGGCTGTGGTGTCCACAAGGGGCAGTCCTGTTCCCCCTTCTCCTGCTGTGTTTAGTATATGAAGCAACACACAGTTATGTCCCTGCCTCAACCCAACTCAGGAGCCATTCTCCCCCCTTACCTGTCCTCTAAACAGGCAGAAAAAAGAGAGGCCATGAAGAAAATCTGCTTCTGGCTCTGGATTCCCAACCTTTGCTGTTGGGCACAGACTCCTGCGGTGGCAGCACTTGCTGAGCTGCTTCCGCCTCCATCTGCTCTGGGCTGACCTCTGAGCTCACTTGCCACCAAGCTCTGCTTCATTCTTCCTCACTGTCACTGCTGCTCCCAAAGGTACTGCCGTGTGCCCACCTTTCAGAATGGAGCTCCCTGGGGTGGGTGTGTCTGTTTCCTTCTGGGCTATGGACATAGGCCCCTGGTCCTTGGGAGGCCGGAGATTTGAGCAAGATCATGATGGGAGCTGCCATTCAGCAGCAGGGACCCAAAGAATGACAGTCCTGAGCCAGCCTCGAGCAGCTTCTGGAAACAAAACCCCCAGCTCCTTCTAGGGCTAGTGCTGGTGGCAAAACTCCATCCCGACCCCCACTTACCAAGCAAGGCCACCAAGAGGAGGATCACGACGACGTTGTTGGTGTTCTTCTCCTTGTAGAAGTACAGCAGCAGGCAGAATAGGATGATCTCCACCAGCTACAAAGGGACAAGGGGAGGTCAGGGGGCCCCAGAGAGGCTTGGCTGCAGATCCTGTCAGGGTCATGGACACTCTGAGGTGAAATGGAGTCAGACACCCCACATTTCCCAATGTGCTGACAGATCCAGAGGGAAAGGGGCAAGCGGAGTGGACATGTCCAGCCCCTGCACAGCACAGAAGGCGACTCTGTTCGCCTCAGGCTGGAGCTCGGAGTGGGGATACTGACCACACCTCCGCCTGTCCAGGTCAGCCAAGACGCATCAGGCTGAGACCGTCACTCCCCACTTCACCACTCAGGGGTCGCCCCATTAAAACAGGGGCCAGTCAAAGAGGGAGAGGCTTGTTCCCTGAGCAGTTTGATCAAGAATACGCCTGCACACTCCCCTTCTTCATCCAAACCTTGGACACTGAAGAAAGGGGAAGGCATCAGGAGTCTCAGAGACCTGGCAGAACTTGGATCTATCTCTAAGCCTGTTGTGTGACCTTGGGCCTGGCGGTTAACTTCTGTAAACCTTAATTATTCCTCTGTGAAATAGGGTGAGAACTGTAACTCACAGGGCCCTACTCAGAGCTGACACTTAATGAACCCTCATTATAGGCCAGGCACTGTTCTAAGCACTTTACATTAAACTGTTACATTGGCACAATTGTTTTATGAAGTAGGTATAAGCACAACCCCCAGATAGGCCCTATCAGCAGGACCTGGGGAGGATGGTGGCACCAGGGGCCAGGTGGGCCTGGCCTTCACATCTGGCTCTGCTCTAGGACTCTGTGCAAATCCACTACCTCTCTGGCCCTCAGGTTTCCCACCCATGAAGTGAAAAGAAAAACACTTCCCCTATAGGGCTGTGGAGAGACTCTGGGATGAGATCTAAAAACATGGCCGGCACAGGGCTGGGCACAAGATAAGACTACACCTCTGCTGTTTCCCTTACTCCGTTTATGTGTAGACCTAAGGCAGGAGGTAACCAGGGCAGAGGGCTGAGCCAGTGCTGAGGCTCATAAGAACCTCCAGTGTCTCTGGGCTTTAGATCAGATTCTACCTGCTGTGTGACTGAAGGGAAAAATAACATTCTTAAACTGCTTAAAATTTTAACTTTTTTTCTCATCATAAAAATTTTCAATGGTCACTACAGAACTTTTGGATGATGCAGAAAGATGAAGAAATAAAAAATGGAATCCTAATTCCATCTTCCAAAGATAACTACTTGGAATTTCTGCCTTTCTATTCAGTCTTTAATAGATATGTTCTGTCTACAAACATTCACGTCCCTCCAAAAACATAAAACCTGGCATCCTGTGATATGTGGTTCTAGACATCATCACTCAGGACACGAGGGAGGTGGCATCTCCCTGAGAGCTCTGTACTCACATGGGTGCCATCTCCTGTCTTGGGACCTCTGATTGACTGTTGGGTCCTTGGGGTTCTGGTGACTGAGACTCCATCCCCTGCCATCCTCCATTCTCCTGCCCTCTCAGGGAATCACTGGGGCCGCCTCTTACCATATACAGGAGAAAAGGCCAGCTCACGAGGTGCCTGGTGATGTTCTCGCCTGTCATCTTCTCATGACTGTTGGGTGCGAAGGTCACCAGCAGGTAGGTGCCCATGATGGCCAAACCACAGCCAACAAAGGACAAGATGTAGCGCCCTGCGGGAGGGACAGGCTTTCAGGGACTTGCCACAGGGCAGGCCCAGGTGAGCAGGAACTCTCGGCAGTGAAAGAGCAGTCTTCCTCTTCAACACATCAAGACAGTCACTCCCAAACGAAACTCCACACTATCATTTTTGTTTTTGTTTACAGTGGACCCTTGAGTCACGATCAGCCTGACATATGAACAATTTGGGTTACGATTGGAATACACTAAGAAAATTGTTGGTGTTTCTGTAAATTACGCACATTATACAACCCCTTTTAAAACATTATGAAAAAGTTAGTTAAGGGGTGCTTTGGGAGGTTTGGAGAACGCATTATGGGTATTTCCAATATTTCTTATGGGAAAAAGAATCTTGACTTACAACCAGCTTGAGTTGCAACCAGCCTTTGTGAATGAATTGAATTCGTAAGTCATTCATACTGTACTTTAAAAAAGAAATGATTGTTTTTAAGGTTACTTTAAAAATGTTACTTTAAACCTTAGAAAAGCTTTAATAAAGGATGACATGGGTGCACAGTGTGCTGTGTGCACTCTCACAAGGGACAAGGCAACAGCCACGAAACTAGCACCAGGTCAAGAAAGAGGACATCAGGAGGACCCCATGTCTCCACTTGCACCCTCCAATCCTACAGCACCCCAACAGCATAATGTGACTGGACTTCCATTTCGCTGATTCTGTGCTTGCCATTGATGGCTGCATGCAGTGTTCCCTGTGTCTGGTGGCTTGGCACTGTGTTCGGGAGGTTTGTCCATGCTGTGTGTGACACTGCACACAATTCACACCCCACCGTGAACAGCACTGGAGCATCTCCACTCTCTGATCGTAAATATCATGATGCCGTGGACATTCTCGTACGTGTCCTTTGGGAAATACACATGTGTATCTCTGCTGGGTATAAAACCAGCAGTGCAACCCCTGGGATGCTGGAGTTTGCTTTGGGAATTACTGTCAGTTTTCCAAGTGGTTGTGTCAGCGGGGCATGGTAATCCCAGCACTCTGGAGGCTGAGGCAGGAGGATTGCTGTGAGCTTGAGCCCAGCCTGAGCTACACAGTGAATTCAAAACCAGGCTGAATTACAGAGCAAGACCCTCTCTCAAAAAAATAAGCAAAACCTCCAAAAACAAGTGGCTGTGCTAATTCACACTCCCAGGAGGAGAGTGTGAGAGCTTTGGTTGTGTCTCTGTCAACACCCACGCTCTGTCTTTTCACTTTATCCACTCTGACAGTGCACTGGGGTTTAAGGTGCACTTTTCAGGGAATGTTTTAAAGCTAACCCCCCCTTTACAGGCACACTGATAAACCAAATGAAACAAAACATCAAAAGCGAGCCTTCAGAGCCTCAGACCCTTCTTTAAAAAATTACCTCATCCTTTCCCAACTGGCTGTTACCCTCACTTCTGGGGGAACAACAGAAACACTGTCACTATTCCGTCCCACACTCCTGCTGGAGACTGTCAGGGCCTGCCTCTTCCCTGGGGTCCGGTCACATCCTTAGAGGACTTGGTGAGGTCGGGAAATGTCTCAGGGCATCCAGCCCAGCCCCAGGCAGGCTGAAAAGGGCTGAGAATGCTGAGCTACACACGTGATTACAGGCCTCTTGGATTTTTCTGAGACAGAACTGAATAAATCTGTTTTATCCACTGACTCCAGAAAATGTCATGTCCTAGCAAATATCTTTTAAAAAAATTTTAGTAGTACTAGGCCTAATACATGTAGAAGGTGCTCAGAAATAGGTTGTTCAATTGTTTAGTGAATGAATGAGCCCAGTTAAACTGAACAGAGCAAGCCTGTTGTCTTAATTTTTCTCCAGACAAGAAAAGGTCATACTCACTTCCACACCTGCAGTGTACAGCACAGGTCTAGTGCTGAGTGAATGTTTGTCAAATTGAATGGAACTTTAGGCAGGGTGGTCATGTATAGTTATGCAGGTTGCTCACTGTACAAGGTTACCTGGCTCACAGAGTGAGGAGGGTTAAAATCTAGCTCATGCTCTGTTCACCAAGGCTTGTGTCCACAAAGCTACAGATACCCAAGAAACCATCTTTTTCCAATTCCCATAGGGCATGCCTGGACTAGAGTAGCTTTCATTCCAGAACTACCTGGAGATGCTGGAAGGAAGAGAAATCTCTGTAGTGGTCTCAAACAGCCCAAGGTTCCCTCTTGCTCCACCCTGTCCCATCAGGACAACTGCAGATCAGACTCTTCTTGGCATCATGGGTTTGCTGAGCAGTTGCCCCAAAGCCTCTGGTTCTGCTTTTCTCAGTGTAAGATTCTTTCCCTTGTTGGCCTCCTTGCCCCAGCCTGATCTTGTTCAGCACCAGAGATTCAGAACAGTGGTTCCTGAATCTGGCCGGGTGGCCATGACATCTTGGTAGCCTCTTCGCCCTGAAATTCTTTTTGCATTTTTCTGACACACAGAACAGCTGAGAACACTGTACAGTAAGCCCCGATGTCCCATCACCTAGGTCCGCACTGGACATTCGGCTACGCTGGCTGTAGCAGGCATCTACCCACCTCCATCCCTCTGCCTGCTCACTGCTCCATCCTGTTTGTGGATGCATTTCAGATTCAAGTTTACCCATCAATATAACCTCACCTGGGGCTTTATAAGAATGTCACTGCCTGGCCAAGCCTCAACTTCATAATCTCCGGGGACCATCATATCCCTCAACTCCTCAGCATGCTATCAGGCTCCGTACCCTCCAGGCCTTTGTGCCTTCTTATCCACCTCTCCTCACTCTCCACCCTCCAGCTACACTGGTCTAACTGACACTGAGCACACCAAGTTTGTCCCATCCTCAGGGCATTTGCACCTGCTGCTCCCTCTGGGTGGCACACTCTGCCTACAGACCTGGGGACGGCAGCAAGATTGCCTCTTCAGAGAATCTAACCCTTGAGCAGTCTGGGCAAAGTTTCCCCTTCTCCCCAATCTGCCACCAAGCATTCTATTTTCTCAGAAGTATTCACTCTGATCTGAAGTTATTTTGCTTTTTTAGCTATCCACTTGTTTATCGTACCCCTTGCCCCAACACTTGCTCCCATATAGACTAAACTCTGTGAGGGCAGGAGCCCTGGGCTGGGGATTTAGCTCAGTGGTGCCACCACCTGCCTCACAAGCACAACGTCCTGAGTTTGATCTCCAGTACCAAAAAAAAGGAAAAAGAGAGCAGGAGTCCCATCTGTTCTACTGCTGTAACCCAGCACCTGTTAGAGTGTGTCACTCAGTAGGTGATGTTGGGGGAACCCTTCTTCCCCACTCCTTAGGTTTCCATGTGGGACCTCCATGAATGTAACACTTCTGCCTCTTCTCTATTGGTCCATGTTTCTCAATGGGTGGAGCTAATCTATCAAAAATGTTTAAAAGTGGGGACTTTGCTCTCTATCCCCTAATCTATGTAAAGCAATATTTCTGGGAACATATCTCCTCTATAAAGCCAAATGTTTCTTTGGTTGGTGATATAACTAGCAGCTGGGGATTTATGGGGGTGGGTGGGCTGTGAAGAGTCCATCGGGCTTCACACCTGTGCTGCAGGCCCAAATCCTCCTGGTACTGGTACAAGAGCAGAATGTCTGGCCTCTGGGTTTTATTCCCATCCCTTCTGTCCCCAGACAGGGAAGCAGTGTGCCTTTGATCAGGCCTCCTAAAATCCCTATAGATGCTCAATTATTCCTGAGTGGAATGAATGGAGGTCCGTTCAAAAGTCTCTCAGGAGATTCTGATGCCAGCTCGGCCTGGGATCATGGATGTAGGAACCCACTCTCAGGAACCTGGAGAGAGCTGGGCAAGAGGCAGAGGGCCTCTCAACTGGGAGAGCTGCATTTATAGCGAATAAAAAGCATGAGTATAAATGAAGGAAGGGCTCAAATCAATGAACTTACTCAGGAAATCTTTAGGTTTCCATTTTTCTTTGATGAATATGATTCCTATGATGGCACTAGCTGGAAAAAAATACACACAGGGAAAAGAGGGGTGAGGTCACTGTCAGCTATAGGGGTCCCTTTGCCCATGCCCTATGGGTTGACTCATCTGACTGGAAAATGCTACTTCCCAACCTCCCATGGTGCTCTCAGAGCTTGGTCCCCTCCGTTCCTCTATCTCAGGAAGGGGGAACCTCTCTGAGCCTTCCTTTTAAAAGCCAGGAGCACTGTGTTCTGAGTTCTGGGGTGTGACAGGCAATTTACACAAGCTATTTTGGACACACTCATCCTTGCAATTGGGTGTGTTATTAATTCCACCTGACAGATGGAGACATGGAGGCTGGAAGAAATGAAGGACCCACTTGAGATTATATCGTTAGTATGGAGATTTGAACCCAGGACTGGTGGGCCAGGGCTCACCTCTGACATGGCTGGTTCTTTTCTCTCCCTACCTCTTCCACATTCACAAAGGGACTCAAGACTCCCTGTGGCCAGACAGGGCTGGCAGCACTGTGGGTGGATCTGGCTCGCCAGGCCACTTGGCCTCTCTGGCTGTATGCCCTTGCATGAGCTGCTCGCCCTGCACCTCAGTTCTCAGGTAGTGTGCGGTAGTGTGCTGGATCCAGCTGCAGTGGCAAAAACACAGAAAATGGGCCAGAAGACAGCAGCAGAAGGTGGAGACTAAGCTCGATGATTAAATTGCTGGCAGCTTGAAATCAACCACAGTGGGAGTAAATAATTTCGCCACCAGATAAATCAGCAAACACAATGAACCAGGTGCTCTTGTTCTCCTTTCCCACTTCTCAGGCTTTTCTCCCCATCCCTTCCTCCCTCTGCCTCCGCTTCTTTCTCTTCCTTTTTGTCTCTCTTTCTGAGAGGAAGTTTATGAGACTAACACTGAAAATAAGTGTCTTTCTGAGCTGCTGGGGCGATCAAATAAGATAATACATGTAAATCATTTGGCACAGACAGAATGTGCCATAACTAAATTATTGTTATTATTAAAGTCCCTGGAACAGTGACACAGAAGTCATTAGTACTTAATGAGTGGTAGTTATTTTCAATATTATTTCAATATTATTTTCTGAGAGTAGCCTCAGGAGCTGTAAGGGCCCCTTATGTTCAGTGGCTCATATATGAAATCTCATCATTATAATTCATTCTATTATTTTCATTTTATTTTTTATTTTCTATTTTTTGGTACCAGGGATCAAACTCAGTACCTTGTGCTTGCGAGGCAGGTGGTGGCACCACTGAGCTACATCCCCAGCCCTATTATTTTTATTTTTTAAAATTTTTTATTTTTTCGGTATCAGGGATCAAACTCTGGACCTTGCACTTGGGAGACAAGTGGCGGAACCACTGGGCTAAATCCTTGGCCCTATTATTTTTAAGAATTTGGCTATTTATTAAAATTCAAGGACTAATATTGAAAGCACTAGACACCCAGCCACTAATTCCACACTGTGAATAAAGGTCCTGGGACCCCTTCGGAAATCCAAAAAAAGGGCAAAGCAGAGAAAGATGGGTACAAATCTAACTATCTCTAGCGGCTGAGCAGTAGCATGAATGCAGAAAATGGTCCAGAAGACAACAGTAGAAGGTGGAGACTAAGCCAAATGACTTGCCTCAATGAGAAGCACTTTAATTACATCTTTAAAATGTTGGGAAAAAACACAGCATATTGAGGACCCAATCATCTTGTAGGCTTTTAGTTTACCAACACTAATCAAAAAGAAGAGGGGGGTCTTATAATAGGATCAGAGACAGCGAATCGGATTCCACCCTTTGCCACCTCCTGCTGACTGGTAGCAGCTGCCGGAAGCTCTGAGGATTCTCAGGTCCTCTGCAGGCTGGCTGGGGAGGAAAGCTAAGCCCCAGAGGGGGCATCCATTTCTGTGGCTGTGTCCTGCCCTGTGGTGGGAGAGACCCTCTGAGCTCAAGGAGGAGCCGGACTCCCACGTGCCACACTCCCTTAAGAGCAGGGAAGGACTAGGAGGTCGAGCTTGCTGGCAAAATGGAAGGAACATTCAGAGCAAGTTCAGGGTCCCTGCTCCTATGTACAGAAAGCTATTGTTCACTAAACCCCCAACATCTTTTTTTTTCTTTTTTTAAGAAGAACTTTAAAAAATTCTGCTTAATCTGTGATCTCATGGAGATTAAAGCTCCTTTGTATTTTGGTTGGCTCAAATGCTCTGAAACACTGGTTCAGTGAGGGCAAAAATCATAGAAAAACAGCAGGTGAGAAAGGGAATGATGTTATTAGAAAGGTACCAGTGGATGTAAATAGCTCAGAGCAGGAGCTGAATGTGCGTGTCTGAAGAGGTGCACGAAATCTGAACCCTGTGAATGCTTAGCTTATCTGGATGATGTAAAGGAAAGTTTATCTTCCTTCTGATATAGCAAAAAAAAGTTCCAATACACTTCCTGAATCTTAAGCGGGTTCTGGAGCCAGAGAGCCCAGTGCACATCTCTGCCCTGTTACTCACTCCCAGTACAATTTAGGGGAAGTCACTTCATCGCTTCGAGCCTCAGTTTCCTCATCTGTAAAATGGGGAGCATGTTAGTTATGTCCCAAGAAATCCCACTGGGAGGGTTAGAAGAGCACCAGAGCAGGCCTGGTGTGTTTAAAGCCCTTGGGGTTACCAGCTATTATTCTTGAAGCAAAAGCTGTTTGTTAATGAGTCCCTTTGATCCCATGGTCATGTTCTGGGCACACAGGCAGTGTCTAGGGTAAGGGTGGGGTCCGGTCTTACCTATCACTGAGACTGCGCTGAGGGGCACAATCAGTGAGAGTGGGGCAAAGGCGTAGGAGGCGAACACACCCAGCTCGCCCAGCAGCATCAGGAACAGGCCCAGCCACCATGTCTTGGTCTTGAAATAGGCCCGGGGGTCCTTGGAGCCTGCCAGGCGGATGTGGCAGTACTTCTATAAATCCAAGAAGGAATTCGGCTTGCTCAGAGGTTTGGAGAAAAAAAGTGCTGTGAAGCGTGTATCCTGAATCTACACCCACTTTAAACATGAATACAGTTAGACCTGTAGAGAAGTGTAAAACAGTAGTCGTCTAAAAACTAGCAGGCTATTCTAAGACAGTTGTGCTCCAGCTGACTGAAAAGCCTTAAAACTTCCCTGGGGAGTTTTGCAAAACTACACACTGGGCCTGATCCTCAGATGGGCTCAGGAGAGGTAAGGACAGGGCCTGGAGATGGGGATTTCTAATGCATTGCACAGTGAGCATGGCCCAGTGTGGGAACCATAGTCTGAGGATCCCCACTTTGGCCAGGCTCTTGGTTGACTTCTCCCTCTGGCTGCAGCTCCCAGGAGTCCCCACATTTGGGGAGTTCACTCAGCCATGCTCCCTTCTGCAGGAGGGCTGGCAGCTCCCATGAGCAGCCCTGTGGGTAGGTGAGCCCTGCCCTCCCTGGGGCACACACATGGCTGAAGCATGGCCAATATTCTTTTCTTTTCTGGAAATGTGAACTTGGGAGACAGAAACCAAGGTAGAAAGTAAAGAAGACTAGAAAGTCAGATTGACTCAGAGGTCAAGCTTGCAATCTGGGGAGGGTCACGCCCCGGCCACATGGATGCAGATAAATGAGCAGAGAGGCTAGTCTGCAGAGAGGATGAAAAGAACCAGACAGGTGGCCAAGGGTCCACATTTCCCCAGAAACACATAGAGATGCTCACACGCACACACACACACACAGCAGTGAGATACGCAAAACACAGATGTATGAGACACACATGTGCATCCACAGGGATTTGGTCTCTTGGCTGCTCCATGAAGGCCAGTTCCTGCCAGTGGGAGGCTGGTAGGAAGGAAGCCAGTGTGCTGTGGGATTTATCCTGCTAGTGGGTGTCAAGTCTTAGTTTGGGTTTCTTAGAAGCAGTCCCTGAGACAAGAATATGGGAGCAAGTAGTTTCTGTGGAGATGCTTCTAAGAAGTACAAGTAAGGCAGGAAGAGAATGAGGCAGAATGGAGAAGAACCAATGAAAGCTGTATTAATGATTTTTTTTGATACCGGGGATCGAACTTGGGTCCTTGTGCTTATAAGGCAGGTGGTGGAACCACTGAGCTAAATCCCCGGCAGAGGTGTATTAATGAGCAAATTAGTCCTGTGGGCACTGGGACTCAGGGCTCCCATTCTCCAGGGGTGTTACCACTTCCTCCCTGCAAGACGTGCCTTCGGACAGGGAGCCAGTTCCTTGGTGCCCTCCAGAGAAGCTCCTCCAGCTGCCAGCTTGTCCCAAACCACAGCTGTCTGAACACAGCTGGACCCAGGGGCTGTGCTTAGAAGCTGCTACAGGGTACCCTGGAGGCATCTAAGTGAGGAGCAGTGCTGGAAGGAGAGTTGAACACTGGGATATCCTGGTAACCTGGCAGCAAGGCAAACAGGAGAGGGCAAGAAGCCCATCAGGAGGAGAGAGAGAGAGAGAGAGAGAGAGAGAGAGAAAACAGGAGGCCAGGGGTGATGGTGAGGAGGGAGTGGGGCAGAGTCCACAGACTCAGGAACAGCCCACAAGTAGTGACCCAGGAGCAAACTTGGGTGGAGCAGGCAGAGCCCCAGGGAGGGTTCGGCTGGACCTGGACAAGACACCTGACTTACCTGCCGCATCTGTCCCAACCGTGCTGGTGACTGACTTACCTGGAGGTTAAGCGCAATGCTGACCACGAGGTGCCCAAAAATCGCCAAAAGGGCACCAATCAGGTTTTCCTAGAAGGAAAAGTCACAGAGCAGACATGAGTCACACCCAAGCCAAAGGGACCCAGGACACATCTGACACCCCAACGTTTGCTGTCACCCCCAAAACCAGAACAGTGTTCATCATTCCCCTTCACCCCTCATTCCCAGAGGGTCTATTGGAATTTGACTACCCATGGTTAACTTGGCCACCTTGCTGGTTTCTAAAACCATCCTGAATTGGATACTTCTGGAAAATGCTATCCTTTGGCTGCCCGTGGTCACCATGACCTGACAAGGCCTAAACCCGCCTGCTCTTCCTGGCCCTGTGCTGATTTGCCACCATCTTGCCCAGGAACACAACTTTCACAAATCAGAACCTGTGAGAGCAATACAGGATATATTCTCCCCACCCCCTGCCCCGGTACCTGGGATGGAGCTCAGAACCTTGCACTTGCCAGGCAGGCGCGGCACCACTGAGCTACATCCCCTCCATCCCCAGCCCCCTTTTTGCTGTCTTAACAAAGAGAGTTCATGTTCCCAGAGGAGCTCAGTGTAACCCTTTTATCTTGCTAACTTACTTAGTGAATTTTCAGTTATTTACTTTATAAAAAGTTAACTGACATCACTTTATGAGTAAAGTTCAAATTCTTTGGCATGGTATTTAAAAAAACACATAACTACCACTGCCATGCATATATTCATTGTAGACTAATGAGGGAAAATACATAAATAAAATAATAATAACATGACAGAAAAGCCACCCAGTATTCTTTAGCCCCAAGATAATTACTACAGTTTGGTTCCTATTCCTATAAATGTTTTTCTGCCCATAAATGTAGATATCAATGGAAATGTTAATTTACTTTAGAAAAATAGGATTATAACATATGCTGGTAGAGATGACTGTGAAGAGCGGAGTGGCATGGATTTTTTTTACTCAACATATTGAGAACACATTTTTCTGTCAAATCTAATTTCATCATTTAAAAAATGTCAAATAAATCATCATTTGGACGAGCTATACTTGATGTCATTGTGCTGCTATTATTGAATACTTAGACTGTTTCCTTTATTTTAAACTAGGCTGTGGCTGAGTATGATGGTGTACACCTGATATCTCAGCTACTTGGGAGGCTGAGGCAGGAGGTTCACAAATTTGAGGCCAGCCCTGCAAAACAACTTAGTGAGACCCTACCTATAAAATAAAGGGCTGAGGACATAGCTCAGTGGTAGAGTGCTTGCCTGGCATTCGTGAAGCCCTGGGTTCTATCTTCAGTACCACTAAGGAAAAAAATCCAACAACCCCAAAGCCCCCAAACAAAAACAGTACTATGTTGAATATCTAGTGGACATATTTATGCATTTATGTGGATCTGTCTCTTGGGATAAACTCTCAGAAGTGGAATTTCTGGTCAAAGCATACTGAGCATTTAAGCTACATGATACACCTTGTCCCCAACACACCCATCAGTGTTATTACACCACTACATGCTAAAGAAAGCTCTACTTAGCCAAATATCAATCCTCCTTCCCAAGATGTATCTTTCCCAGTGTCCTTTGCTCCTATGGGTCACGCCCTCTCTTGGGAAGCCCTGCCCAAGCTTCAAGGTGTGGGTCAGGCCCTGGGAGTCAGCAGTGACGGAAACCACACAGTTCTTGCTCTCACGGGGCTCCTCGATCTGGGAAGAGACAATGAGCAGGCAGCCCCACAGCGGCCAGCATTGGCTGGGGCCTCCTCCTCAGCACAGATGACCAGTAAGGGGTGAGGCCCACCCTCCTGCCCTCCTCCCCTCTCTCTCTTGAAATGAAGAGGGGCAGCTAGCATGAGTGAGGGCAGGAGGGGCAGAGGGAGGCCTATTGGCTGAGGTCACCATGGTCTGGTGTCTTTGACTCCCCTACCCTCCAGCCCCAGGGCCTCAGTGTAAGGGAAAGTTGCTGAGGCCAGAACCAAGAGAACAGCATGTAGACCTGGCACTGCTGCCACTTCCCTACTGCCTTAGACAAGTCCCTGGTTAGGCCTGTGTGACCCCATCAGGAAAAAGTAAGTTCTGGCCCAGATGACTGCTAAGGTCCCTCCAGGCCTACTCCACATCAGGCGCCCACAGAAATCAAATGAAGGATCAGGTCAGACCAAAATGGACTCTGATTCAGTTCACGTACACACAGAGAGAACAAAGCTCTCTGAAGGCAGAAGCTGTATCCTGTAGGATTTCAAAGGGTCACAGGAGGTCAACAAAGCCAGTGTTCCCCTATCTGGGTTGTCAGAGATGTCAGTGTCTTATGAGGTTCCACGGCTCAACAACCTTTCTCTCTGTGGGACCTAAAGCAAATCAAACAGGATTTGGTCAGTCTTTGCGATGATCTTCAGAAATATATAGATGCCTTCCAACATTTTGCTCATAGTTATGGGTGGAAGAATGGCAATGCTACTTTGGGACAGACTCAGAGATCCAGAAAGGTCCTGAGTAATTGCAGGGGCCGGATGTTATCTGATGACTTACACACTTCCGATTACAGGTGTCCTATAGGGCCTAAAGCTGCCCCTGTCCCCGGTCCTAAATGAGATTATACTGACCCTAATCACATGTGGAACTGGAGACATTGAATCATTTGCATTCTAGAAGGGTAAAGGCCAGCAAAGTCAAACTGGTAAATCATGTTGACCACAGCTACCACTGATCGGGGCCAAATGAAACCCTGAGTTCCTTAAATGACTTAAGGAAGCCATTCGAAAGCATACCATGCCTGACTCTCAATCCTTCATGGGATGAGTACTCTTTGAAGACAGATTTCTTACCCAGCCAGCTTCAGATATTAGGAAATTGCAAAAGATATCTTTGGGACACAAAACTCCAAACAATGACCTTCTAAATGCTGCTAATTCTATTTTTTATAACTAAATATGGAGAAGGGAAGCTAAAAAGAAAGCTAAGACTAAGTGAGAATGAGAGGACCAAAAGTATGTGAAGCTTCTTGCTGCATTACGTTATCTGCTGGCTCCTCCCCTGAGGAAAGGCAGCTGACTGGTAAGTGTCATTGTGGGTAGCTGGGCCACTGAAGAGGGACTGATCTAATGTTGGGTGGTTTTCTTTTCTTTTTTTTTTCATTAAATAAATTTATTTGTTAAAATAATTTAACTCCAAATACAACTATCGAATTTGCATTGAGTTATAACTACAATTCATGTTTTAATTGAAATGTCAAGGTTTAACAACTGACACTGTTATAAAACAATAAACAGTTATTCAATTTTAAATGGTCACTTGTATTAGAGCTCAACAACTAACTGTGAACTATAACCTCTGGGAAACCCCAAATCAATAATGATAAGTCTGTTTTCAAAACCTACCGCAGTCATTCTTGAAACCCTAATCAAGATTTAATAGATGAAAAAAAAAAAAGATTTAATAGATGCACAATTTCTGGGTGTCTTTCTAAGTCACCTTACTCTAACTGTGGCAAGATGGGACACTGGGACTTACTGTCTCAAGGATCAAAGGACCCCTGGTTCAGAGCCCCAACTGTCGTGCCTGGAATGAGGAGGCCCTAGGCTCCAGTCAGCCTCTGGCTCAATCATCACCATCAGTGGGATGGAGCCTTGGGTGACACTGGATGTCACAGGTAGGACCATCATCTTCCTCCTTGATGGTGGGGCCTCTTACTCTCTTATCTCCTATTCCAGACAATAGCCCTCAACTGTGCATCAATGGGACTCTCATGACCAAATGCTTTATTCTTCCTCTGTGTTGTTTATGGCATAATTTTCTCCTTATCCATGGCTTCTTGGTAATGCCTGAATGTCCAATCCCTTTACTGGGTTGAGACTTATTAAAGATGAAGGACCCAAATTATCTTTGGCTCACCTAGCAACCCCACAATATTGACAATGGTTGCCTTTTCTGGCAATGCTGATAATGATTCTATCATTACAAAGGGCTGTACAAGATTATCAACCAAGTCTCACAAGCTTATGCTTTATGCTCTTAACAATCCCCAAGGATCTAAGCCTCCTCCTTCAGTGGCTCCTGCACAAAGCCAATTCCAGCCAAAGGGTTGGTAAGTTGATTCCCCCCCAGTTGTCTCCTTGCCAAGAGTTTAAATACCTACTTGTTTTTATTTTATTTCATTATTTATATCTTTACAGGATGCATGGAAGCTTTTCCAACTAGGGCCTTGAGAGACCCCACATCATGGGAAATCTGAAATACCTGTTCAAACACATTTCAGTTCATGCCTCACTATCCCCGCCCTACCTTCCACCAGAGGGCTGCATGCACCCTGCGTATTCTTCTCCTAATTGGAACCTTTAGCATAATTAAACGTCTGCTCACTTGTGTTTCTAGAGGACACAGACTAACCTGTTGGTGCTTATAAAGAGGCCCTATAAATCGGGTCATAAGGAGTTCAGTTGCCATCTCTTTTATTTAACTATATTTTATCTTTTGCTTCTGATGGGGTTGTTGTCCCTAATCTGCCACACTAAAGAAGAATCAAATTCCCTTCTCATTTGGGCTCAGCAATATGCTCAGGACATAGAACATGTCATGTTGGGTACTCCCCACTTCCAGCACAGCAGGGTTGCCATGATGGGTCTCACCACTTAAGGATGATGATTGGAACAAATTACAACATTATATGTGGGAGAAACAAGAAAAGTCTATATTATGTATAAACACTCATTCAGATGGATACCAATGGTCCAGTGATTTCATCTTGGACCCAAAGGGACATGGGAAAAACTTCAAAGAATGAAACTGATGCCATCCTTTGGAGATATACAAATCCTCTTCTTTCATAATGTACAGTCCTTCCTGTGATCAGAAATAATATCCATCACTACCAGGAAGGATGTGTTCAAATATGGGATGACTATATATGGCTCACTTCCACTACAGGAAGGCTTAGTCAGATGCCTCCTCTTTGCTGTGAGCAATGCAAGCACTCCTAATACGCCTGGCCCCAAACTGCCAAATATTTGGGCTGGACTCCCCCTGAACAATGTGAGAATATTTTCCTCTTACTAGCAGAGG